GCAGGTGATTGGAAAGACCATGGATTGAATCAGGCACACCTTAGTTTCTAAACTGCAATCATTGCTCTTCAGGACTTTGGAGGTGTCCTTGACAGCAGACTTTACCAATGTTATTTGTCTCCAGATCTCCTGATTGCTGATACCAAGGTCTGTGAATTATGGATTCAAGCAAGATTAAATCATTGACAATTTCAATCATTTCTCCATCTATCATGATGTTGCCAATTGATGCAGTAGTAAAGAGTTTTGTCTTTTCTTTTTCTTGAAGTTGAGATATAATCCATATTGAAGACTACTGTCATTGATCTTCTGCAGCAAGTGCCTCAAGTCTTCTTCACTTTCAGCAAGCAAGGTTATATCATCTGGATAACACAGGTTATTAAATCTACCTCCAATCTTGATGCTATATTCTTCTACATGTTTCAACTTCTTGAATGATTTGCTAAACATGCAGATTGAATAAGTATGGAAAAAGGACATAGGCCTGATGCACACCTTTCTTGATTTTTAAACCATGAAGCGTTCCCTTGCTCTGTTCAGACAAAAACTTCTTGGCTTAGGTATAGATTTCAAGCATTATTAAGTTCTCTGATATTCTCATTCTTCTTTATAGCTCATTCTTAGCTATATTTTGTAATGGTCCACATAGCCAAATGCCTTTGCATAGTCAAGAAAACACAAACAGAAATTCTTTTGGTTTCCTCTGTTCCCAGCCAGAATCTATTTGACATCAGCAATGATAACCCTGGTGCCACAGCCTCTCTAAACTCAGCTTTAACTTCTGGCTGTTTTCTGTCAATGTACTGTTCTAGCTGCTTTTAATGCTCTCCAGCGATATTTTGTTCAAATGTGGTATTAATGATGTTGGATAATTTCCACATTCTTTCTTAAGAATGGGAATAAATATGGATCTCTTCCAGTCAGTTGGCCAGGTAACCGTCTTCCAAATTTCCTGACACAGTATGGTGAGCACATTCAGGGCTGCATCTGTTATGTGAAACATGTCAATTGGTTCTCCATCAACTCCTGGGGCCTCATTTTTTGCTAATGACTTCCCTTATCACCATGGGCTTTTTTTCATATGCTACTTCCATACCTTTTCAACCCATATGCAGAACAGATTATCCGGGAGGCTGGGCTCTATGAGGAGAAATGTGGGGTCAAGATTGGTGGATGATTTATCAACAACCTGCGTTATGCAGATGACACAACCCTGCTTGCTGAAAATGAAGAGGACCTGAAGCACCTGCTGCAGACGGTCAAGGACTGCAGCCTCCAAAATGGATTGAGGCTCAATGTCAAGAAGACAAAGATTCTCCCCACTGGACCAATTGGCAGCATCAGGATGGATGGTGAAGAGACTGAGATTGTACACAGCTTTAGTTTGCTTGGCTCCACAGTCAACAGTCTTGGCACTAGCAGCCAGGAAACTAAAAGGCGCATTGCCAAGGGAAAGTCTGCTGTTAGGGACCTCTCCAAAGTAGTGAAGAGCAATGGCGTCTCTCTGGAGACTAAGGTGCGTCTGATACAGGCCATGATCACTTGCTATGCATCAGAGAGTTGGACAATGACCAAGGATAGAAGGAGAATTGATGCCTTTGAGCTGTGGTGCTGGAGAAGAGTATTGAGAATACCATGGACTGCTAGGAAAACAAACAGATTTGTCCTGAAGAGGGTTAAACCGGGTGACTCCTTGGAGGCAAGGATTCTGAGGCTCCGTCTAACATACTTTAGACATGTTGTGAGGAGAGACCGATCCTTGGAGAAGGACATCATGCTTGGGAGGGTGGAGAGACAGCGCAGGAGGGGAAGGCCCTCCATGAGGTGGATTGATTCAGTGACTGGGATAATCGAGATGGGAGTGTCAGAGACAGTGCGATTGGCACAGGACAGAGCAGAGTTTAGGGCTGTTGTACATGTTGTACATAGGGTCGCTATGAGTCGCAAGCGACTCGATGGCACATAACAATAAATAACAACAACTTCCTGAAGTGAACTATTTTGGTGTTAACCAATTCTTTTTGGTACAATGGCTGTTGCAATCTCAAAGGTGCACAGTTTGAATCCACCAGGTACTCTGCAAAAGAAGGATAGATAATATCCTCTCATGTGATTTACTGTCTGAAAACCTGCCGGAGGGTCAGCTATGGGTCGGTTTCAACTAGATAGTGCTCAACAATACAACTCACACTTCCTGAACTATTTTGATGTTGACCAATTCTTTTTGGTACAATGGATCCATGTATACCTTCCATCTTCTCTTGATCATTCAAGATTTTGCCTATAGTATCTCTCAGTATTGAAACTCAAAGCATGAATTTGCTCTTTTAGCTTGAGAAATGCCAAGCAAATTCTTCCTTTTGTATTTTCCAACTCCAGCTCTTTGTACATTGTTATAATACTTTAGTCTTCTCGAGCTGTCAAGATGGTATTCTATTCTCAAGCTGCCAAGAAGTTTGGCATCAAATTGGGTTGCAGTGAGTGGTAACCAACTCATCAGCCACTGGTTTGGGGTTTGTTTTTATCACTGTAAAAATAACTTAAACTAGGGATTTCTGGTGATAAATAATTGCGCTGCCAACTCAAAGCCATGTATTTCAAATCTACCTGCTGCTCCACAGGAGAAAGAAGCGCCACCTCTCTCCAACACCTTCCCTCACTCCACTGTGTACAGCCTCTGAAAACCTGACACAACAGCATGTAACAACAACACAAACTAACTGGCCATTGGAAAAGTATTCTCTATTTAGAAAGTAGAATATTTGTAATATTATTTGTGGACAAACACAAACTGAATAAACCAACCAAATGTGTCATCATTCCATGCTTTGCAGAATGCCCCACCTTTCTCCCAAGGAGCAGCTGGTGTGTTGAACCTCTGACCCTTAAGAGCTGAGCAGTTTAACACCACAACATCAGGGCTCCTTCCTGCTACTAACGGGGTGTGTGTGTGAGTCATTTTATGTGTATGTTACCAAATAAGATGACTTTAGAAAGATGGGGCCTGGCAAGTGGCCAGCATCCAGTCCTTAGCACAAAGGATGTAAGGAAGGAGTGGCCTAGGAGATAATAAGAGACATGACAGCCAGGAAGGACTAGTCACTTCTGTGGGGCTAGAAGTGGAAGCTGGAAGGCTGGATGGACTGGAACCTATCTCACTTATCCAAGAGTATTTTGAGAGTCTAGGAATATTTTGAAGGACTCAATATGGCACTTGGCTGCTAACAGAAGTGTCAACAGTTCTAATCCATTCCTTAAAAAGAAATGTGGTTATTTGTTTCTGTAGGAATTAGAGGCTTAGAAACTCATTGTTGTGTACCATGGAGCCAGAACCAACCCATAGCTGACCCTCCAGCAGGTTTTCAGAAGTCAGGAATCGCCAGGAAACTGCTCCCTTAGAAATCCTATAGGGCAATCCTAATCTGCGCTATAGGGTTACCGTGAGTCAGAATGAACACAATGGCAAGAGGCATGGACCAGACACATCCTCTGTGAGCTACATGCTCAAGGCGCCCCGGACCAAGAGGACACAGACAGGCACTTGTGCAGGAGTCTTCACCTGACCCCTGCATGGATAATAAAGCCTGGCCCTAAATCTACACTTTAGAGTTTACAACGTCACCCAATACCTATCCCATTGATACTCCCTGATTTCCTGTCTTAAGAAACACACCAAAAAGCTCAGTGTCTACAAATTCAGCAGTGTGGACCACAACTTTCCAGTTACCAACCCAAGATTAACAAACTACACCAGCAGGGCACTTTAAGAAACATAAGGGCCAGGGCAGGGCAAATGCAGTTATACTGTGATTTTGTAATAAATTCTGTAAAACAAACAAAAAAAAAGAAAAGAAAAAAGTCTATGAATGGTTGAAATGGGAAACCAGTTCGCTCTGTAGTTTTTAGTATATATATAAAAAAAAAGAAGAAGAAAGTAGCACTGTGGGCCTAGTGTGGGTAACAAGAGGGACAATGAAATAGAGCTTCATGATGAACATGTAATTTTTTTAAGAGAAAATGAAAGGATGTCAGGGAAGAAAGTACCAGGATTAGTCAGCTGCGGCTAGTTAAAAACAACCAAAAGCAAAACTGTTGGAACTGACAGAGACTGAAAGGGTGGCATCCACCAGGAAAAGGCCAAGTTCATGGTCCCCACCCACTGCATGTTGGGTCCCTGCAAGAAGCTATGTTGCGCTCTGATACCTGCATGGCCCCTGACTTTTCTGAACCCGCTATGGAGACTGGACACAATGAGGTCTCTGGCGATGATGAGCCAGATGAACTAGTTTAGGATTCACCAGAGGTGCCGGCCTGGTCTTCTTTGGCTCCTTGGCTGTCCATGGATGTCAGAGCAGAGCCGAGCTCCCCAGGGCTCTCCAGCACGGATTTTGTTGGGAAGTTCATCCCCAAGCCTGCACCTCTGGGCAGGTTCTAGCCACCAATTTTCCCCTTAACCTTGTGTGCCTTCCAGGGAGGGGAGTGTGTCCACTTCAGGTTCTAATGCCAACGTCTGTGAGATGGTTGGAGTGGGAGCGAGGAGCAAGGCTTTGAGTTGTAACTTTTCCAAGTTCTAGGCAGGCTGGCTGAAAAGGAGGCCTGGTGGTACATCGGGTCCCGTAAAGATTACTCTTGGAAAGCCTATGTGCAGTCTTCCCTGCCGGGTATTTATGTTCTACCCAAATAGGAAGAGTGCACATTTACTTCCCAAGCAGGGAAAGTGTGAAGGCCCGAACCCTAACCCTAACCTCACCCTCCCTCTGGCCTCAGGTCCCCGGTGCAGCTGTAGTCCGTGGGGAAGCGTCGCCCTTTCTCCCTGCCCTGTTCAGAGCTTGCAAGTTTGGGCTCGTCCTGGGCGGGGTCTCGTGAGCGCCTTCCAGTAGTGCAAGGGGCGGGACGCAGGCCGGTCTCTTTAAGTCCGAGGCTGGCCCTGGGGCCCTGCGGGCCGATCCGTTGTGTCGTGTGGGACCTGGCTCCCACTCGCCTGCGCTGCCCGCGGCACCATGGGCCGCTACCGCATCCGCGTGGCCACTGGGGCCTGGCTCTTCTCCGGGACGCTCAACACTGTGCACCTGTGGCTGGTCGGCGCGCGCGGAGAGGCCGACCTGGAGCTACAGCTGCGTCCGATGCGCGGCGAGGTGAGTGGGGAGCGGTGCTGCCAGGCTGGACACTGGCGGAAGGGCAGGTCTCTAAGACGGGGGCTAAGTACAGGGTCGGGCCACAGCTGCACCCCCCCCTGTGCTGGGCCTTCCAGGGAATCGGGGGGGGGGTGCCAGCGCCGGAGGCAGAGTGGACGCGGCGAGGGCCAGGATCCCTGGGTCCAGATGGCACCTTCTTCCCACCCCTGGCTCCAAGTGACCCTGGAGCAAATGCAAACTTGCGCTTAATGGTCAGACAATCTCCCCCGAGAGCGGGGAAAGGGCGAAAGGGCTTGCTCAGTGGTCCAGATAAGGGCGATGATGAATAGTGGGCTATGGTGAAGAGTGTCCATCCGAGACGCGCACCGCCCCTCTCGTCCACGTCTAGGCCCCCCGCGGTTGTCCTGGCAGAAAACGTGGGTGTGGTGTTTCGGGGAACCTCTATACACAGAGGCGCCGCAGAGGAGTCCCTGGTACTAAGTCTCGCCCTCAGGAGGAGGAGTTTGAGCACGACGTGCCTGAAGACCTGGGGCCCCTGCAGTTCGTGAAATTGCGCAAACACCACTCCCTAGTGGACGACGCGTGGTTCTGCGACCGCATCACCGTGCAGGGCCCGGAGGCCAGCAGCGCAGAAGCCGCCTTCCCTTGCTACCGCTGGGTGCGCGGCCAGGGCACCCTGAGTCTTCCGGAGGGCAGCGGTGAGCCGGCACGCGAGGGGGTGGGGGACAGGCCACAGCAGAGGACCGTCCAAGGAACCCTCAAGCTGGGCAGATGCAAATTAAGAGTGAGGACCCTGTGATTTCCCCCCTACCCAGCCTCACCACTCTGCTCCCACTCCTTCCCTCCTTGGGGAAAAGTCATGACCTTATGAGACGGAGTTAGTTTACTCAGCTTAATGCTCTCCAGTCTCTCCACTCTCTTATGTAGTGTTTTTCAGAATTGTTGCTCCTGAGTGCTGCAACTCCCGGCTGACCCTCCAGCTGGTTTTCAGAGGCAGGACGTTGCAAGGGGGGAGACTGTCCGTCTCTCTCCCAAGCAGCAGCTGGTGGATTCTAATCGCCTGCCGTTGGACGGACAGCGCAACTCTTAAAGTTTATGTCAAAGAATAGATTTTAAAGAAAAAAAAAAGAGTGGGGGACTCGGGATGCTCAAGAGCGAGTAGGAGAATAAGGTCTCGAATGTTCCTAAGAGACGCATGAGGCAGCAGAGGACGCTGAAGCCAGGAAGTGAGACAGTGCTTGTCTGCAAGGTGAGGGGACAGGAAATCAAGAGTTGCAGCAATGAGGAGAAACAGAAGAGTTAACTTCAAACTGTCAAGGCAATCTCTGTGAGTCAGCGAATTAGAGCAGTGACAGGTAAGGGAGACAGACACTGGGGAGCGAGCCAAGCTGAGGTGCTTGGAAGGCACATGGATGGACAGGAGACAGGAGAGCACAGAGTAGGACTAGAAACTATGGGGTCTGTTGTCATGGGAAACAAGCAAGACAGGTGATACAAGCAGAACTGAAGATGAGTAAAAATGGGAACATGAAGTATGTATCTTTTAGAGACAGGCAAGCAAGCAAAGATGACAGGTGGGGCAGGTTATGAAATCTAGGCCAGCATGGTAACCCAGGAAGGGGGACACTAGGTAGCATTCACCTGTCTCCAAAACTTGGAAAATGTTTTCAAGACGAGTGAAGGTGTGGAGGTGTGGACAGGTGAGGCCAGAACATGTGAAATTAACCAAAGCAATATGTAATCAAAGATAGGTGTGGGCATGTGAGTGGTTAAGATTGTATCACCTTAATTCAGGGCTACAAACTGGTTCCTTCTGGTTGGACCACCTGCTGAGAAGGTGGATTCTTGCCCCAGATACACTGAATCAGAAAGGCCACTTTAAGGTGATTTATCTAATCACAGATATTGATCAAATAGGGTCTAGTAGGAGAAAACTGGTTAAGGGACAAAAGAAGTGTCAAATGTGAACTTTTTGTCTCATGGAAAGAGACAGGTGAAACTAGACTTGAAGATTAAAAAAAAATTGGAATTTAGGGATTAATCAAATGGAGGAGAAAGGCAGCAAAGTAAATATGAGAGATGATAGAGGTAAATCCTTGTAATACCTTCCCAGCACGCCTGGCAGTTGACAATGCCTTGGACATATTCCAGAAGCATCGAAAGAAAGAACTGGAAGAAAGACAGCAGATGTACCGGTAACTGGCCACGCATTAGCCCATCCACTGCCCGCTCCTCCTGGTCCTGGCCCATCACTGGCCCTATTCCCTCCCTGAACCTTTATTCCCCCACCTCCTAGCTGGGCCACCTGGAAGGAGAGATTGCCCCTGACCATAGCTGCAGACTCTCAGAATGACCTGCCTCTCAATGTGAGGTTCCGTGAGGAGAAGAGGCTGGACTTTGAATGGACACTGAAGGCAGGGTAAGGTCGAGGCAGAGTGAGAGCTGAGAAGCCCAAGGACAGGGTGGTAGGTGGTGAGGGGCTGAGCAATCAGGCTCCTGCCTGGATCCCTGTCCTAGGGTCCTGGAGATTGCTCTCAAGCATGTCTATACCTTCCTAAACACTTGGAGCCACCTGGAGGATTTCAAACAGATCTTCTGGGGTCAGAAGAGTGCACTGGCTGGTCAGTGGTTCCCTCCATCTCCAGAGTCCCCATAGCCCTTTTTGATGACCCATCTATCACATTCCATAGGCCTCCTCACTGCCCCGCCCTGATCCCAAGAATTCCTTGCCTGATAAGAACTCACCATGCCTGGTCATCTCCCAGAGGCCTCAAGGATGTACAGGCAGGGACTGAGCAAGGGTGGTCATATGCCTGCATCTCCAAGATAGAGGCTGAGGAGAGTGGTTCAGGCTGTGTGGTTCATATCCCTCTCCCCACCTCCCAGAAAAGGTTCACCAGTGCTGGCAGGATGATGAGTTTTTTGGCTACCAGTTCCTCAATGGTGCCAACCCCATGTTGCTGAGACGCTGCACATCTCTGCCCGCCCGTCTAGAGCTGCCCTCAGGGACAGAGGAGCTTCGCGCCCAGCTGAATGAAGAACTCCAGGTACCTCCTCCATTCTCCATTTTTCTCTCCTTAGCAATGTGGCAAGGGTGAAGGGGTGAAACTAAAGATGAATGTGGTGGAAGGGAAGCTACAGAAACGTACTGCCCTCGATGTAGGGTCCTGCACATCTAGGAAAATTAGAGATGACACAGTTATGTAGAAAAGAAACTAAGAGGTGCTCCCAGCATGACAGGGAACACAGGATGGGTCCCCAAGTCATGGATGGTACCAGAGATGCTGTTCACGGAGACAGCATTCCTGAGTGGTTATCAGGGCCTGGACACCACCAATGTCCATGGGCAGAGAGAAAGCAGGTGAGCATGGCAGCAGATGGTGAGTTAGGACCCCTTCTCAGAAAAGAGCTGGGTTTGAGAGAGAAAAACAGGCTGTAAGAGATGGGCAGATGGTGGGGAATCAGGCCTGCCTATCTTGACAGTCAGAGGAAAGTTTAGCAAACGCTATCAATGGTCCAAATTCAGGTTGGCTACCACACACCTCTGGGCAAGACATAATCCCTCATTAAGCTTGTTCCTTCACTTTAAAATGAAAGAACTGGACCTAGCGATCTGGTTCAGCCACTATATCCCAGTACCTATGCAGGATGACAGCACGAAGCAAATCCAATACTTTTATGTAACTTGTTCCTTGTCCTATTCTCTGGGGACAGAATCTACTTGATGGCAACACATGTGCTTGGTTTGTTGTTTTGTTTTGGTCTAGAAGTAGATTTTGGACTGTAATCATGAAAACTTTCTCTTTTTATCAGAATAATTCTCTATTTGAGGCTGACTTTATCCTGCTAGATGGGATTCCAGCCAACGTGATCCGAGGAAAGCAGCAGTACCTGGCTGCCCCCCTTGTCATGCTAAAGATGGAGCCCAACGGGAAGCTGCAACCAATGGTCATCCAGGCGAGTCTCTGGATATCTCCCCTTCCAACACTGCTCTATGTCCCCATCACTCCCTCCTTTAGGGGCCCAGGCTCCCAAACCACAGCTTCACCCAGCAACACCCCTCGAGTCACTAGATGGCTGCTAGCAGCATGCTCTTCCCTGACTCACTCAACTGGAATTACTTGTTCAAGAGTCTCAATGGCCTTTTGGAGTTCTTATCCTGTAACCCAGCGGTTCTCGAACTTTTGTGTGCCTCAGAATCACCTGAAGGGCTTGCTAAACATGGTTACCAGGCCCCACCCCCAGACTGGTACAGTAGGGCTGCTGAGATGGGGACTGAGAACTCACACTTCTAACAATTTACAAGGTGATGCTGATGCTGCATTTTAGGAGCAATACCCTGAGAGCCATGATTCAATCTTTCTGAGGCCTCTGGCTCTGAACACCCATTTTCACTTAAGTAATTCTTCTTTGTTCTCACAAACCAGCTGGCTGACAAATTCTGTCAATTGCCTCACACATTCTGTCTCCTCCCCATTCCAATATCCTAGCGCAGCCCCCATCACATTTCTCCCAAACCACTATTCGGCCTTCCTTACTGGTCCCTGCTTCCAGGCACTCCTCCATCCAAGCTAACCAACATGGCGTTCACCCTACCCTCACAACCAGTTAGAGGCTAGGGGGAAGGGTCTTCCTTCCTCATTACTAGACTACTGGAAGGCAGGACTCTTATTTCAGTCCTCTTTTCTCTAGAATGCTGAATGCAATGCCGTACGTATGATGTAAATTCAATGCATGCTTAATTTCTCTTTCCCCAGCTCCAGCCTCCCAATTCCAGCTCTCCTGCTCCACCACTCTTCCTGCCCTCAGATCCTCCACTTGCCTGGCTCCTCGCAAAGGTCTGGGTCCGAAATTCAGATTTCCAACTGCACCAGCTCCAGTATCATTTGCTCAACACTCATCTGGTGGCTGAAGTCATTGCTGTTGCCACCATGAGGTGCCTCCCAGAACTGCACCCTCTCTTCAAGGTACAGGCCCAATCCTCCCAGGCCCATCTCTCTTGGATCCCTGAGAAAGGAAACAGCTTAATGATACCAAATAGCATTGCAACCACCACCACCACCAAAAAAAAAAACCCCAAAACTTTCTAGCAATATGTAAATGGAAAAATTAGCAAAAACAGACTGTGGCAATATCTTGGTCCTTGTATTTTTATTAAGTCACTTAATGTTTCTTCAAGACACATTATGAAACTCAAACTCATCTCCATAGAATCAGCTGTTTGCTATGGAGACAGATAAGGGAGTGGCTGGACTCATAATGGGAGTTTTAGGTGTGAAGAGTGGTTTAACCTGTTCAGAAGAAATGATGGAATTCAGGAGATGGCATGAGATCAAGAAATCCAAAACTCTTCATCAATCTGGTCTCCATCATGAGGTCACACCTACTCGTAGGCAGGTTCTGGGGTAGGAGCGGAAGTCCCAACAGAAACGCTCGTTGCTGTGTCTGGCAACTACTCACTGGCAGTCCTGCCAGCATTTCAAACTCCATTTTTAGCCTGAAACTGAGCACCTCACCTTTTACCCTAAACCGATTTCTTCTCACTTTATTTCTGACAATTGTTTTAGTTATAAAAAAAGCACCTTGAAAACATTTTTTAGATGATTTTACTGCCTTCTGCTTAACATGGAATACTGGATTCACTGTTGTGTGGGGGTTTTAACTTTATTGTGGTATTGTTATGTGCCATCCAGTTGGAAGTGACTCACTGCTGACCCTTTAATGGGTTTTCAGAGGCTGCAAATTGCACGGAGGGAAGAAATTACTCATCTTTCTCTGACTGAGCAGCTGACGGATTTGAACAGCTTTGTCTTTGGCTTGGCAACGCATCTCCATATCCACTAGGCTACCAGAGATAGTTTTATAACAGAAATCTGTAAAACACACCCACTCTTTGGGATCCTAGGTGTTGCAAGAACACTGCTCTTCAAGCTTACACCTAGATCTGTTGCTGCTCCTCTTTCCTCCTCTGTTGTTGTTGTCATGTACAGCCAAGTCTGACCCATAGCTGACCCTCCAATGGTTTTTCAGAGGCAGTTAATTGCACGGGAGGAGACTGCCCATCCTTCTTCAGAGAGAAGCTCCTTATCCAGTGGAGAAGCTGGTGGCCTCGAACCTCAGGCCTTCGAGATTGCAGTGCAGCTTCTTGCCACTAGGCCACCTAAGCTTACTCTGCTATTCTTTCATCTGTTCTATACTTGATTTTCCCCCTTCCAGTCTCATCATTCTCTTGCTGATGCAGGTCTATCCACCTGTCTCTTGGCCATGTATACACAGCCCTGCTGGACTACTTTACTTTCCTTGGTTTTTTTATTTGGTTTTACTTAACAGATTCCTTAGTTGCGTTGACAGTGATGTTTTAATATTGATAGGATATCTCTATTGATTTTAAACTCTATTTCCAGATTTAATTCTCTGATTCTTATGGAGGACACCATTTGTTTTCCTAGCTAAATAATAAGTCTCGTAAGGTGCAAATAAGGCTGATATTTTTATCTGTATCACTCGTTAGGTGTCATTGAGTTGACTTTGACCCTGTATACAATAAGCTGAAACCCTAATTGATGTTGTGCCACCTTCAGAATCTCTGCTGTGTTTAATAAAGCCAGCCCACTGATGCAGAAACTGTCAAGCCACCTTACTGAGGGTCTTCCTCTCTTTTGCTGATCTCTGCTATTCCTTGAGAAGAGACATCATGCTTGGAAAGGTGGTAAGTCAGTGAAAGAAAGGACTCGACCAGACGGATTGACATAGTAACTGCAGCAGTGGGCTCAGAGGTGTCAGAGATGACGAGGATAGCACAGCACCATACAGTGTTTAGGGTTGCTATGCATCATACTCAACTTGACAGCACCTAACAATAACAATAGCTTTTCTAGGGACTAGTGTTATGGTGCTGGAGAAGAGTATTGAGCATACAGATTGGTCTGTCTTGGAGAGGGCAATCCTTGAAGACTAGGATTTTGAAGCTCCACCTCACATACTTTGGGCATGTGGCCAGGAGGGACCAGTCCTTGGAGGAGGACATCATGTTTGGAAAGGTGGAGGGAAAGCGCAGGAGGGGGAAGACCCCAGATGAGACAGATTGATACCGTAACTAGGGAAGTGGGAGTAGGTGTATTGGAGTGAGACATGCTCAGGACAGGGAAGACTTCAGATCTGTTATACATAGGATCACTATGAGTGGCCTCAACTCAAGGGCACATAACAACAACACTCTTTCCTAGAAACATGACCAAAACATATGAAACAAACTATCCTTTCTTCTGCTACTACTTACATACTTATTATAGCCATATATGTACATGTTTTACTAAATGTATTCTAGATCGTTAAGATTTCTGAGAAGCCCTGGTGGTACAATGGTTAAGCACTCAGCTGCTTGCCAAAAGGCTGTACGTTCAAACTCACCAGCCACTTCATGTTCTTCAGGACAAGGATGTTACATTCTGCTCCTGCAACAATTACAGCCCAGAAGATCCTATGGGATGTTCTATTCTGCCTTCTGGGGTCTCTCCGAGGTGCAGTTGACCCGACAGCACACAGCAACAGATTTCTGAGAATTTCAGAGGCCTGCATCATGAGTCATGTTCAGGGAGCTCTGGTGGTGGAGTCTGTAGGGAGTTGGGCTGCTAACCCAAAAGCCCTGCTTCTCTGGCAGTTCAAATCCACCACTGGCCCCACGGGAGAAGGATGAGCAGGATGTCCAGGCAACTGCATGGAGGAATGAAGGGAGGCAGCCACCACCTGGGCCCCCCACTCTCCAAGGACGGGCTCTACATGGCTTTCACTAACCACTTGCTCCCCTTTCTGTACCTTCCCAGTTCCTGGTCCCCCACATGCGCTACACCATGGAAATCAATACTCGGGCCCGGAACCAACTCATCTCAGAAGGAGGCATATTTGATAAGGTAGGTAAGGAAAGAGCTCATCCATCTTTTCATGACCTCCTGCCACTCAAGGGGTCCCAAACCAATTATGTCTTGGAGAGAGTGCAGCCAGAGTGCTCAATGGAGGCAAAGATGATGAAGCTTCACCTCACACACTTTGGGCATGTTGCTGAAAGGGGCTATTCCTTGAAGAAGGACATGATGCTAAGAAAAGTAGAGGCTCAGTGAAGGAGAGGAAGACCCTCAACCAGGTGGACTGACACAATGCATGCCACAATGGGCTCTAGTGTATCAGGAAGTGTGAATATGGCACAGGATAGGACAGGGTTCAGATATGTTGTTCATAGTGTTACTATGGGTCACACTCAACGTGATGACACCTAACAACAACAACAACCCAATGATGTGGGGCTGCCCTGCCACTTTTATACACATGACTTTAAATCTGAAAACCCAATAGACAGGGCCCTCATTCCATGGTTCTGAGACCTGCTTTGCTCCTCATCACCTCCTCCTCTCTTGTCCTAGGCCGTGAGCACAGGAGGAGGCGGCCATGTGATCTTGCTCCAGAGAGCAATGGAGCAGCTGACCTACCGCTCACTCTGCACTCCTGACAACCTGGCCGACCGGGGCCTGCTGGGACTCCCAAGTGCCCTCTACGCCCAGGACGCTTTACGGCTCTGGGAGATCACTGCCCGGTGGGAAAGGGTGATAGCTGATGCATGGAGGCGGTGGAGGCTGGGAGGAGTGAGAGGTGTGAGGTTTGCATGAGGCAAAGGGAATAAAGGAGGAAATGGCATGGAGGGTGTAAGAAGAGATCACCATGAGACAGGGAGCCCAGAGGAGGAGAGCTGTGGATGGGGGGACTGTGGGATCCGGAGGGCTGTGGTTTTGTTAGGAAAACCATGAACTGTACCTGCATAGAGGATTCCAGGAACTAATGACCCAAGGGCCTGTGAGCTTCCTCTGTGGTGAGCAGAAAGAGCTGAGGAATGGCCTCAAGGGCAAGTCTGGGAGGATTTATCCTGAGATGCAGTGAATGACAGCAGGCAGAGGCCACAGAACAGAATAGAAGTCAGAGCCTCCTCCTATCAAGGAGCTCACCTCCCTGCCCCTGACAGGTACGTGGAGGGGATTGTCTACCTCTTCTACCAAAGGGATGATGTCGTAAGAGGGGACCCTGAGCTGCAAGCCTGGTGTCGGGAGATCACCGAGGTGGGGCTGTGTCAGGCCCAGAACCGAGGTATGACCATGACTCCTCTCCCGAGGCATAGCCTTTAATCTCTGCCTCTCTGGGGACAAGATCCTAATCCCTCATCACAACTCTCCCAAAACTTCAGAATCCCACTCATACCCAACATAAGGGCTTTCCCAGCTGAAGACAATTCTAGATACGCAAGGCCTGTCCTCCCAAAAACCCTGGCCATCATCCTCTACTCTCATCCCTCAGCTACATCACAGATGTCCTTAACCTTCCGCAGTGTGGGGGCCCAAGCTGACAGAACCACAGCCAGTGAATGGTTTTTATCTGGCCCTTTATGATCTTTCCATGGTTCCCTACCCACAAATATAAATGAGATATTCCCTTGGAAATCATGATGCCCCTCTCTGACTTCCCCTCTCTTTTCTCTCCTCCTGCTTGCCACTGTCCAGCAGATACAAGTGGCCCACTCTTACAACAGTGCCAGGTCATTTCGAGATGCAGGTGCAAAACAGGACGTGGTCTAGCTGAAACTTGAGCTCAGGGCTCACAATCCTTTAGGCAGTCTACCCTCCTTGCTATGAGCTGGTCACTGTCTGTCTGCTCTCCCACATTTGAATCTATTAGGAGGAAACAGCTGCTCCTGAGCTCGTCCCAGGTTCATGCTTTCCTTGTTAGCACACACGCGCTAGTATGGACCGCATGGCGTCATTCTGCTTCTGAGCAACGCCTCTGTGGGACAAAAAAAGTAGAGAGCTGTTATTATTGCCGAGTCCTGGAGATGTGGGGATCAAGTAGCCATTGTCAATTTTGACGAAATAACTTGAATATGGAATGCAAAAAGTATGAATCTACAAAAACCAGAAGTTGTAAAAAATTAGATGGAACACAGAGACTGACATGCTAGGCATTAGTAAGCAGAGACAGTCTGGTATTGGTCATTTTGAATCATACAATCATATGCTCTGTTATGCCAGGAATGATAAATTGACAAGAAATGGTACTCCAATTATACTCAAAAAGAACATCTCTACTTTATTGTGAAGTACAATGCTGTGATAGGATCATACCCATTCACAGGTGTGACCTATCAATACAACTTATTCAAATATATGCACTGATTACTAAAGCCAAGGATGAAGAAATGAGGATTTGTACCAATTTCTAAGTTTCAAGTTGACTGAATACACAATTAAGATGCATTAACAGTAACTGGTAACTGAGATGAAAATGTTGGAAACAAAGGAGGACTGGTAGTTGGAAAATATGGCCTTGGAAATAGGAATGAGGCCAGAGGTTGCATAATAGAATTTTGTACAATTATTTCTTCATTGTAATACATTTTTTAAAAAACAAACCTTAAAACAGCGACTGCATACATAAACCTCCACCTATGGACTACACAAGAATCAAACTGACTACATCTGAGGAAAGAGATGGTGGAGAAGTTCATTATCTGCAGTCAAAATAAGGCCAGTCTCAACCATTGAAGAGACCATCAACTGCTCATAGGCAAGCTGAAGCAATGAACAAATTCAAACCTTGCATCTTAAATGACACAGGAAGCATCAAAAAGACGATGGAAGGCATATACAAAATCACTGTGCCAAAAAGAAGTTATCAAAGACAAACCATTTCAAGTAGCATATGATGAGGAACCATAGGTAATGAAGGAAGAAGTTCAAGCTGCACTCAAGGCATTGTATGAAAAGGTCTCAGGAATTGATGGAATACCAATTAAGGTGTTTAAGCAAACAGATGAAAACCTGGAGGTGTCCACTTGTCTACTGAAAGAAATTTGGAAGACAGCTACCTGACCAACTGACTGGAAGTGATCCATATTTGTCCTCATTCTCCAATAAAGATGATCTAGGTTCATCGTAGAGAGGGTGAAACCAAGATGCTCCTTCGAAGCAAGGATACTTGGGCTTCATCTGACATACTTTATGAATGTTGCAAGGAGGGACCAGGCCTTGAAGAGGGACATCATGTTTGTGAAGGTGGAGAGACAGCACAAGAGAGGAAGACTCTCAATGAAATGGATTCACAGTGACTGGGGTAATGGGGTAGGTGTGTCAAAGACAAGGTTGGCACAGAATAGAGCAGGATTTAGGGCTATTATATATAGGGTCATTATGAGTCACAAGTGACTGCACAGAACAACAACTGAGTATAGAAATTATTGAGCAATATCGTTAATATCATAGGCAAGTAAAATTTTACTGAAGAATATGAAAAATGGCTTAGTGCAGGACACAAACAGGGGACAGAAACTCAAGTTGCACTCAGAAGAGGCTTTAGAACAAAGTATATCATTCCTGATGTCAAATGGCTCTTGGTTGAAAACAATACCAAACAGATATTGTGTTTTGTTGACTATACAAAGGCATCTGACTGTGTGGATCCTAATAAGTTATAGACAATATTGAGAAGAATAGGTATTCCAGAACACTTAATTGTTCTTGTGCAAAATCTATACATAGAACAAGAAGCAGTCCTTTTAACAGAACAAAAAGACACTGCATGGTTTAAAGTCAGAAAAAGTGTGGATCAGGGTTGGATCCTTTCTCCATGTTTATTCAATCTGTATGCCTAAAAAATTATTTGAGAAGTTGAACTAAATGAAAAATGTGACATCAGGACTGAAGAGTCAGGAAAAAACTATGCATATGGCAGTTTGCTGAAGTGTCAAAAACATAAAGCACTTGCAAAGAACAACAGACTTCAATGTAGATTTGACTTCAACATCAAAAAAATAAAAATCCTCACAACTAGACCAATAGGTTACATCATGATAGATGGGAAAAAATACTGAAGTTGCCAAGGATTTAATTTTCCTTGTATCCACTATTGGCACCTGTGGTAGTAGCAGTCAAGAAATCCTAAGATACATGTCATTGGATTCTCAGCATTTCTCAAGGTGAGAGATCTGAAAAACAAATTTCAGCCTTGAGTTGCAATAATGAAGGATACCATGGGTAATATGTTGAATGAGCCAGAAGCATCAAAAGAAGACAGAGGGAAGACACAGAGTCACTGTACCAAAAAGAACTGACACTTAAAAATTTCAGGAAGTACCACATGAACAAGAGCCAATGGTAGTAAAGGAAGAAGTTGAAGTCACATGGAAGACCTTGGCCAAAAATAAGGCCCCAGGAATCGGTGGGATATTGATTGCCATGTTTCAACCAACAGATGCAGCCTTGGATGTGCTCATCAGTCTATGCCAGGAAATTTGGAGGGCAGCTGTCTGGCCAACTGATTGGAAGAGATCCATATTTATTCCCATTCCCAAGAAAAGTGATCCAACAGAATGTGGAAATTATTGAAGAATATCATTAATTTCACACACAAGCAAAATACCACAGATAATTCATTAAAAAATGGCTAGAAGAGTACATAGATAGAGAACTGCCAGAAGTTCAAGCAGAACTTAGAAAAGGCCATGGAACCCGGATATCAATGTTGACATGAGATGGATCCTGGCTGAAAGTAAAGAATACTAGAAGACCTATTTGTGCTTTATTGACTGTGCAAAAACATTTGATTGTGTGGATCACAACAAATTACGGCTAACCTTGAGAAAAATGGGAATCCCAGAACACTTAATTGTACTCCTGTGAAACCTACAGCTAGAACAAGAGGCTGTTGTGTGAACAGAGCAAGGGAACACTACATGATTTAAAATTAAGAAAGGTGTGTGTCAGGGTTGTATTCTCTCTCCATACCTATTCAATTTATTGCCCAGCAAGGGAGCTCTCATGACCTAGTGGCAAGAAGCTGTGCTGAAATCTCAAAAGCACATGGTTCAAATCCACCAGATGCTCTGCTGGAGAAGGAGGGGCAATCTCCTCCTGTGCCAGTCAGATCTGATTTGACAGTACACAACAAAACAAAAACATAAAATCAATTTATTGGCCAGCAAATTATTCAAGAAGCTGGACTCTATGAAGATAAATGTGGGATTAGAATCAGAAAAAGACTCATCAGTAACCCGTGTTATACAAATGATACAACCTTGCTTGTTGAAAGTGAGGAGGGCTTGATGCACTTGCTGCATAAGATTAAGGAACTCAGCCTTCAATATGGATTGGATCTCAACATCAAGAAAACAAAAGTTCATGCCATTGGCCCAATAAGCAACATCATGATAGATGGAGAAAAGATTGAAGCTGTCAGTTAATTCAATTCTTGAAATTAATCCAATTCTTGGATTCATAATCAACACCTTTGGTACCAGCAGTCAGAAGATGAGAAGATCTATTGCATCGGGAAAGTCTGTAGTCAGGGACCTCTCCAAATTATTAAGGAGCAGTGATGTTAACTTGAGGACTAAGGTGTGCTTCATAGGGTCGCTATGAGTCGCCTGCGACTCGACGGCACTTAACAACAACAACAACAAGGTGTGCTTGATTCATAGTCTTTTCAATGACTTGCTGAACATATGAGAGCTGGACAATGAATAGGGATGACAGAAAAAGCATTGATGTCTTTGAACTATAATGTTAGAGAATATTACTGAACAACCCATGGACGGCCAAAAGAACAAACATGTCTTGGAGAAGGTGCAGCCAGAGTGCTCTTTGGAGACAAAGATGAGGAGGCTTTATCTCACAGACTTAGGGCATGTTGCTAGGAGGGGCTACTGGAGAGGGACACGATGCTAGGGAAGGAGAGGGTCAGAAAAAGAGAGGAAGACCCTCAACCATGTGAACTGGCATGGTGACTGTTACAAGGGGCTCTAGAGTGTCAAAAATTGTGAGGATAGCACAGGATAGGACAGGGTTCAGATCTGTTGTTCATGTGGTCGCTATGGGTCTACTCAACTCATGGCACTTGACAATAGCATATCATTGAATAAATCTGCCATAAAGGACCTCTGTAAAGCACTCAAAAGCAAGGATGCCAGTTTAAAGACTAAGGTGCGCCTAATCCAATCCATGGTATTTTAAATTGCTTTGAATGCATCCGAAAGTTGGACAGTAAAGAAGACTAAGCAGAACCAATGTCTCTGAACTGTATAAGTAAAGAGTATTGAATATACTATGATTGTATCACGAGAGTAAACAGATCTGACTTGGTGTGCAACCAGGGTGCAATTTAGAGGCAAGGGTAGTAAATCTCTGCCGAAGCAGTCTTGTGGCTGCCCCTCCTTTGGATTCCCAAGGCTGTAAATAGAAAATTGCCCACCTTTCTCCCTTGGAGCTGCTGGTGGATTTGAACCTTTGAGTTAGCAGCCTAACTCCCCATGGACCAGGCTACCAGGGCTCCCTTATGTTAGATTTTAGCCACTGAGTGCAATTCTATTCTGAAAAACCTGGAGTTGTCAAAAAATGGAATCAATATGATAGTATGAGTTTGGAGACCTCTCATGGCCTAGTGGCAAGAAGCTGTGCGGCAATCCCAAAGGTCATGTGGTTCAAGAACACCAGCCACTCTGTGGGAGAAGAATGGACAATCTCTTCCTGTGCAATTAATAGCCTCTGAAAACCTGTTCACAGGAGACTCAGCTATGGGTCGGTTCCATCTCTACGGTACACAGCACTACCACCTCACATACTTCAGACATGCTGCTAGGAAACGTTCTTCCCTGGAACGGGACATCACAGTTGGAAAGGCAGAGAGTCAGTGAAAGAGCAGAAGACCTTCAACGAGATACACTGACACAATGACTGCAGCAAGGGCCTCGAGTGTTTTAGAGATGGTGAGGACAGCACAGGACAGGACAGGGTTCAGATGTGTTGTTTATAAGGTCGCTATGAGCCATACTCAAATCAATGGCATCTCACAACAACATAAATGCCTAAAGGAGCTTTGGTAAGGTAGTAGGTTAAGTGTTGGGTTGTTAACCAAAAAGTTAGCAGAGCAAAGCTACAAACCATTCCACAGGAGCAAGATGAAGCAGTCTCCTCCCATTAAGATTTACAGCCTCAGAAACTCACTGGAGGTTTGTCATGGGTCAGAATTCAACAACACTGCACTTGAGCGAATAAATGCTTGAGCAAAGACTGAAATCTAAGACTGATGCAAATATGTGTGGTTTTCATTCTTTCATACAAACACATCTGAGTGAACAAACGCCTTTCTTTCTTTCTTTCATGCTGGAGCCTCTAAAACCTGTTTCCTTCCTGCCCAGGTTTCCCCATTTCCTTCCAGTCACGGGCTCAGCTCTGCTATTTCCTCACCATGTGTGTATTCACATGCACTGCCCAGCATGCAGCTATCAACCAGGGACAGGTATGGACAGCCTAAAACCCAGATCCTCGTGGGCAAATGTCTGGACCCTGGGACACCCAAGGGCGAGAAGGGAGGGTTAGCACTCCAAAGTGCCATGGTTCTTAGGGCTACGGTTTCTTCCTCTAGATAGACTGGTATGCCTGGGTCCCTAATGGCCCGTGCACGATGAGGATGCCCCCACCCACCACCAAGGAAGATATAACGATGGCCACAGTGATGGAGTCACTACCTGATGTCCAGCAGGCTAGTCTTCAAATGACTATCACATGGCATCTGGGCCGAAAGCAGCCAGATATGGTGAGAAGGGACTGTGGGTAGGCGGAAGTGTTGGAAGGTATGCAACAGAGTGAGGAGCTGACATGTACATCTGACATGGGGCTGGGGACTGACTGATCTTTTGTTCTGCCTCAGGTGCCTCTGGGGCATCACAAGGAAAAATACTTCTCAAACCCCAAAGCCAAGGCTGTGCTAGACCAATTCCAAACAGATCTGGAAAACCTGGAAAAGGAGATTACCACCCGGAATAAGCAACTTAACCTACCCTATGAATACCTGAAACCCAGCCACATAGAGAACAGCGTCACCATCTGAGCGCTGAACTGCCCCCACCTGCAGGACATCAGACCAGCTCAAGAACTGATATTTCCAACTCAAATTTAAAACACACAGCTGGTAAGAAGTATTCTCTGGGAGTGACTGCGGGGGCCAACTGGCTGATCTTCAGAGCCCAGCATTGAACCCCCTGTGCCACTACTGCTTCCCTAAATTTCTGCTGCTAAAGTTCCACTTCCTTCAGCTTAGCCACTTAGATTGGTATTTAGGTGGCTGAATACGAGCCCACAAATTTTGCGGTTGTTTTGGTTTATGTTGGTTATTTTTTTCTTTTCAATAAAAGGGTCAAATATTAAATATTTTAGGCCTCGTGGGTCACACATTCTGTCACAACTACTCAATTCTGCATTGTAACAAGAAAGTAGCCACAAAGCATAAAGCAATGAGTGTGATTATTTTCCAATAAAGCTTTATTTATAAACCCTGAAATTTAAGCTACAGATGTTACCAAATATTTTGTTTATCGACCATATGAGACTTCGAAAGCCACACTTAGCTTGAGGGGAACACAGGCTGGATAGGGCCCTCATAGCTAGCTGTACACTGCACTAGCCAGAGCACTGACCTGACTTCCAGATTATCCTGATGATCTTGAAGCACGTAGTTGTTGGGTGCCGTCGAGTCCAAACCAACTTGTAACTGAGCCTCCAGGAGTTTTCTGAGGCAGTTAATCACACACAGGAGATAGTCCATCTTCCTCCCACAGAGCAGCTGGTGGAGTTGAACCATGTGCCTTTGGGATTGCTGTACAACTTCTTACCACTAGGCTATCAGGGCTCCCTGAAGGATGTAAAGAGGACTGCATTTCTTGAAGAGATCAATCACTTCAGTGAATTCTCCATTCCCAGAAACCAGATCTAGTGTTTAATGATCAGCTTATAAAATTCCCTGGCAACCTTCCCCCAACCCCATTCATCCTATTCCCACATGTACCCAACATATCCCTATATAAGGATGGTGTTCCTAGAAACAAGCTAAATGTCCATCATTTTAAAAAAATTAAACACATGGTTTGCACAACAACAAAAGCTCACTGCTGCCAGGTCAGAACCAACTCATAGCTGACCCTCCACCGGACTGCCAAGGCTTTAAATCAAATGGGCGGAGACTCACTGCCCATCTTTCCCCCTCTGAGCTGATGCTGGATTCGAAGCACCTGAGAGGTTTGGCCTTTGGGTTAACAGCACAACTCCCTATGAACCAGTATGCCATACAATGGACTACTACTTGACTGTAAAGAGAAATAAGTAATGCGTGTGACAACATGGATGAACATTCAAACATAATGCTGAGTGAAGTCAGTCAATCACATTAAGACAATTATTGTATGATCTCATAAAAATAGAAAGTTACAACTGGCCCATGTATAGAGACCACAGATTATGAGTGGTTAGTTACACATTGTTTAGTAAGCTTTAAGATTGTCTATAGTAATGGAAATGTGAGAAAAAGGAATTCATTCTCATAGTTGCCCATGACTGATGTAACTGATGTTAGGAAATTATCACTCAAGCACTCACTGCTGTGGAGTCAGAACCGAATCAAAGCTGACCCTCCATTGGATCTCCCAAGGCTATAAACCGCAGATTGCCAATCTTTCTTCTGCGCAGCTGCAGGTGAATTCAAACCAACACAGAGATGCGGTCTTCCGGTTAGCAGTACAACTCTCTTCAGACTACACCACCAGAGTGTAGTTTGTTGTTAAATTGACTGATGTTTTATTATATATTTACAATCTTTTAAAAAAAATGGTCTCTCTAGAGCAGAATAAAAACTTTCATCCAAACAGGATTCTCTCCCTAGACAACAAGAATAATTTTCAAAGCCTCTTTCCCTGCCCTTTAGTACCCCAGATCTATCTCCAAGTGCTTCCAGGTTGCAGTTTCTCTTGGACAACTCTTTTAAAAATAATACAAATGGGAAAATGCCAGAAAATTATTCTAATCACTGACAGTGTTTCCTTATTTGGTTCCAGAACCTGAGGATAAAAAAGTCCCCTCTTAATTATGCTGGGATCACTTCCTGAGTAATTATGACTCTGTCTCTCAACATTGGTATATATACAAAACTTTTTTCCCCTAAAGTAGCGAATGAACTGTCATCCATATATGCCTACTTATACAAAATGATCTATAATCCATTTCCTACATTTACAGTAGGGAAGCAAACAGGCATTTTTATGTACTTATTTAAGACCATGGGTGGTGCAAACGTTAGGCTAGCAGCTATTAACGAAAAGATTGCCAATTCAAACCCATCTCTAAAGATTTCTTTAAGGATTAATGACCCAATTTCAAAACGTTGGAGAGTAGTTTCACTCTGCAATTCACGAGGTCATCAAGGGTCAGAACTGATGCCTCATTTCTTCAACATATGTAGCAGGACTGCTCGTCTTCCCAACTTGATCATTCAATCTGCTCTCCTTGGGCTTTTCCTGGCTTCCATATTCTTTCCTAAATTTGCCATCCAGAATCATACAGTATTTAATGTGTTTAAACAAAATGCTACTTTATAAGTTGCATTCTAGAGCCTTTCCTGAGAAACCCCAGTGATTTTAAAGCGTTCTGACTACCAAGCCATGCTTGGTTTCAATAACAGGTTCGAGTCTCCTTTTGGGCTCTGCTAGTTTAGCGGTTAAGATGTGTGCTGCCAACGCAAAGGCAGGCAGTTCAAATCTACCAGCTGCTCCACTGGAGAAATATGGCCATCTTCTCCCCCGCAGTTTACAGCCTCTGAAACCCCGCTGGACGGTCAGCTGGACGGCTCCGACTTGAGGGTACATAACAAGAAGCCTCCTTTCACCATGTCAGAGTATAAAAGGGGCAAGAAGAGTAGAGGGAAGACAGAGTTTTCTCCTGGTGTAAATCTCTGCATTTCACTTACCATCGGACCATCTCAGGATACCACCCCTTACTAAAATACTAGAAAGAAAAATCAGACATTTACAATTCTTCAAGTCTAACCGTCCAGGGCCAGCTTTCGCTAGGGCTTTATCATATGATCCGGTAAACCAGGTCACGTGACGTTCGGCTCCTTCCATTACTGCTTGCAAAAGGGTTACCAAAAAAGCAAGGAACCTTCACACACCTGAGAGTCATGCCCCAGAAACACTGACCAAGAATATTTGACCTATACATATTCCTCCAGAATATTTTCGGTCGTTTCAGTAACTGTCTTCCCACGGCAAAGTCCCAGATGACTTTTCGGCGCCCAGCATTCTCCGCCCGCCGTTCCCCCCGAAACGGTGGTTGGATCAAGAGAACACGCCCCCTAACCTTCCTCCGGGCCCTCCTTCCTACACCTCCGGAGCCCCCAAGTCTAAATCGCTCTCCCTGTCGCACTCCAGACTATCTCTGACGGCCTTTCTACTAGGGCCTCATCAGGCCCACCCCCGACTCCGTTCTTCATGGCGTCGCTCCTGTGCTGTGGGCCCAAGCTGGCTGCCTGTGGCATCGTTCTCAGCGCCTGGGGAGTTATCATGTTGGTGAGGGGATTGCCCTTCGAGAACCGGAGACAGCCTGAGGGAGTCTGGGGCTAAGGAGGTTTGGAGACCACTGGACTTAGAAAGCAGGGGCAGACTGTACTAGCTGACTGTAGAGAAAGAGCCGGAACTGAGACTGAGAAATGGGGAACTAGCGGGGGAAGAGGAGCAGGCGTTCTGGAGGTTGGAAAGAGGGTTGAGCCAGGCCGGCAAATTTGAGAACCCCTCAATGTATGAGGAGATAGAGACCCCCGAGTGATGCTTGAGCTGAGTGGGAACTGAGGCCTTTTATCTTCCAGCTCCCTATCTACACCCCATTATATTCAGTAGGATATAATCACATGATAATGATTTTCCCTTCTCTTCCGCCCTGTCTCGTGGTGGTGACCCCTGAGGAGGAAGATAATCTCTGTTCCTAGGGAAGATGGAGCTGCTCACTGCTTCTGCGCTATCCCCAGCCACTCACTTCAATGTCACAGCCTTATCCCTGGTGGCTGAGTCTGAACCCAGCAACAGACATCCTTAATCTAGTTCATTCTGGTTATTCCCAGACCCAGGGTTTATGGCAACATCAGAAGGGGATGGGGCTGAGGTTCAGGTACCGGAGTTCAACAGCCAACTCATTTCTTTTTCTTCAGATAATGCTCGGAATCTTTTTCAATGTCCATTCTGCAGTCCTTATTGAGGACGTCCCCTTCACGGAGAAAGATTTTGAGTAAGTCAGTCTGGTGGGCAGTGGGAAGTGGCTGACCGGTTGTCAGAATTATGGGCAGGGGATGGAGGGGAGATGGGCACTTGGAGACCCAGAGATACTGGGAGCAGCCTCTTTATAACTGTATTCTTTTAATGTTAGTTAGGGGGAGAAAGGTGCAACAATGAATGAATGGAAATCCCCAGTCTCTGTAAATTTTCATTAAAATTAATAAAAAATGTAGTTAGGAACTGTCTTGGGAGTCTGATCTCAGAGGCACTCCTAAATCTACTAGGAAGACCCTCAACGAGATGGATAGTGACTTGTGGCAACGGACTGAAATGTGTCAGAGATGAGAATAGCACAGGCTAGGACAAGATTCAGGTTTGTTGTTCATGGGGTCTCTGAGTTGCACTCAACTCGATGGCACCTCACAACAATGTGGCTGCTCTAGGTACTTAATCCAACTTTTCAAGAGACTCTTCTGCAATACAAGTATTGTGAAGAATTAGTAATGCACGTGCAATAATTAATGCACTCAAAACGTTAGCTGGCACATAGTTAAAAGTTGATTGCTATTAATGTTTCTGACACTTCTCTGCCTAATCCCTACTCTCAGGAATGGCCCCCAGAATATATACAACCTATACGAGCAAGTGAGCTACAACTGTTTCATCGCCGCGGGCCTTTATCTCCTCCTCGGAGGCTTCTCTTTCTGCCAAATTCGGCTCAATAAGCGCAAGGAATACATGGTGCGCTAAGGCACAGTCCAGTTCCCTCCTCCACTATTTAAACACCCAGCCTATCAGGTGCCCGGACCCCCTGTTTCATCCTGTACCACAATAAAGAGAAACTGCTTCCTTCAGCTTTTCATCTGTTTTTGTGTAAAGAGCTGCAGGGGGGTCTAAGGCGGGAGCGCGGCCTCTAAGTGGGAGGGCAGCAGAACCCGGAAGTGAGGCGTGTCTTTCGCCTCTTCCCGGAGGCGCACAGGCCGCCTAAGTGGCTACGGCTGGTGAGGACGGCCAGGCCCAGGCCAATCATCGGCGGCGTGGGGCGGGACTTCCCCCTCAGGGGCCGGAGCGGTGCAGCCGAGGGGTTGTCCGTGGTCCCGGCTCGCGTGGCGGCGGCGGCGGCAACGTCTCCGTGAGGAGGCGCGCGGGGCCATGACGTCAGCGTCCACCAAGGTTCGGCCTCCCTCACGACAGCGCTCTCTGGCGGCCACGGGAGGGCGGCCCCCCCAACTTGGTTTCCGGCTTGTCCGCTCCGGGCGGGGTGGCGGGCGCTGAGCCTGGGGTGGGGCCAGGGGCTTCGGGCGGGCCCGCGAGGAGGGTGTGCGCCGGCCCCCCATAATGCTGCCCCGCCCCCAGGTCGGAGAGATCTTCTCGGCGGCCGGCGCCGCCTTCACGAAGCTCGGGGAGCTGACGATGCAGCTGCATCCCGTGGCCGACTCTTCGCCCGCGGGGTACGTGGACACCAAGGGAGGACGCGTGGACTCGATCACAGACCTGGACACTCTCCAGGCGGGTTCCCTTGGCACCGGGCACAGCCGACCAAAACCGAAGAAACTAAACCCACAGGCCGCCTTTGAGGCAGTTCTGACTCATAGTGACTTTATAGGACAGAGCTGAGGCTGGAGACCTTTAAGGGAGTAGACTGCCTCAGTTCCAGCCACTGACCTTTTAATTGGCAGCCCAATGCTTAATCGGCTGTCCTGTCAGAGCTTTGTGCAGAATAAACCAAAGCAAACCAGCCTCCATCCACTCCTGAGGCTGTAAATCCTTATGGGAGGAGACTGCCCGTCTTCCACAGAGCCACTGGTGCATTCGGATTGCATGCCCTTTCAGTTAGCAGACAGATAAATTACACACAGTACCCCTTTCTGTGTAGAAAGGATGTTCACAAATAATTATTGCATGGATGATGACAGATGAAAACACTGGGATTATATTGCGAGCAGCAGCACACCACAGACTTCCACCACCCCAAATTTCTCGGAAACTGACTGCTACAGACTTTGTGTTCGGGCATTGTGTTACCTACTATTGAAGTCGTTTCAGAGGGCTTTCACACAGCAGCAGGGTATTGCAGGAGACAGGTCCTCTAAGGTGGGCTTGGAGATAGGTGGTTGAGGATCTTCGGGGTTTCCCAAGATCTTAAGAGCTCTTTATAAAGGGCCTCACGATGGGAGGAACCCCAGAGAGGGGAAGGGGGTTTGGCTGGGGACTGCATAGCTGGGAACTGGCTCTACACCCCTCCTCCCTTTCGCTATTCCGCTTTTCCCTTCTGACAGTGCGAAGTGGACGGAGACGGAAATAGAGATGCTGAGGGCTGCTGTGAAGCGATTTGGGGACGATCTTAATCACATCAGCTGTGTCATCAAGGAACGGACAGTGTGAGGGAGGGTGGCTGGCAGACAACGGGGGGTGGGCCACTTTCTTTCCCCTGAACCCAGAGTTCCAGTCTGAGTACTTCCTCCCAGCTCAACACCCTTCCTACTTTGTTGTTAGTTTTGTTAGAATCCCTTTGAGGACTGAAAGAATACAAGAATTGTTCAGGAGGAAGTTCCTAAAATACTGTTAATCATGGCTTTCCAAGAACTTGATTTTAAGTCACCTGATTATGGAATTTGATCATAGGAGTTCTTTTGAGACAGTTACAGTTTCCAGAAATACTGTGATTCCAAGATAGCTGATCAAGAGCCCCCAATTCTCAATGTACCTGTAGATCACCAAGCCTTACCTGCTAGCCTTGCACACCCATACTTCTCTCCCAGTAGAGAATTGGGTGATGGACCTTTTCCAGTTCTCCATTCAGGGACTTGACTCCTCACACACCATCTGCCCTGAGTTCAGTGTCTTATTGGAAAATGAAAACCCTACCAAAAGCTGGGGCGCTGACCTAGGTCCATAGGAAGGGGCTCCCAGAAGTTTTTCAGAGTGGCCCATTATCCTCTCTTTTCTCCCCTTCTTCCCTCAAGCCTCTCTGATGACAGCTGCTTCTCTCTCCTCTTAGGGCTCAGATAAAGGCCACTGTGAAACGAAAAGTGTATGAAGACTCTGGCATTCCCCTTCCAGCCGAATCACCTAAGAAAGGGCCCAAGAAAGTGGCATCTGGTGTTCTGTCGCCTCCTCCAGCAGCCCCCCCACCTAGCAGCTCCATTGTCCCTGAGGCCGGAGGCCCCCCTGTAAAGAAGCAGAAAGCTGGTAAGGGCTGTGGAGTTGCTGCCTAGGGGTTCAATATCCCTGCTGAAGTTCAGTGAGAAAACCAGGCCTGAGTCAGAGGATATAAAGCTCTCTTCCTCTCCCCGTGGAGCTTCCCAGAGAGGGAGTTGGGGTGGGGTCGGGGACATGGCTCCTTGGGAAACGGGGGCCGCTAAGCGAAGCTAGAACCTAGCTTATGCCCCCTCCCAGATGTGACACTCAGTGCTCTGAACGACTCTGACGCCAACAGTGACCTAGTGGATATTGAAGGGCTGGGAGAAACTCCTCCAGCCAAGAAACTCAACTTCGACCAGGGTAGGAGTCCCCCTCCCCTCACACCAGCTGAAGGGGCAGGGGAGGACATGGTCACTGGTAGTGGGGTGGGTGTCCCTGGACTGAGACTTTGCAAAGGAAAGTGTCTTCTTCCACGGTACAGGGGATTGGGTCACTCAGGATTGGGGGTGAAGGGGCAGTGCTTTGGTGAAGTGGGAGTTTTCTTACAAGCCTGTTTGGGGTTTGCTCCATCTCTGCCCATTTTGCCTTTTGTTCCAGACAGCCTGACCTTGGATTCTGGACTTCTCATGACCTCTGCTGACCCTCCTCTACTCTCCCATTGAGACTTGCACCTCTGACCCCTCTTACTGTTCATCCTGCACCTGTATAGTTACCTGGGACTCTACTGAGGCCTACACAAGATCAAAGGACTGCTGGGGCTGGGAAGGTCCACCGTGCTGCCCCCCCTATGTAGGCATCTGTCTCTACCCCCTTTGACCTCCACTTAATGGACATTTTTTATACTGAAAATAAAGACTTTTCTCTCAACTTAATGAATGTCTTCTTCTTGGCATATAAGGGGCTGTTCCCGCTCCACTCTTTAGCCCTCAGGTCTCAGTCCCTCCTGGGACTGGCAGCACTTGCCACCCTGCCTGGAGCAGCACAGCCAATATTGGTAGACTCTTCCCGGTGCCAATATTTCTGTGCTGCTAGAGCCAGGGAAGCTGGGTGTGGGCAACAAAGAGTCCACTTCATACTTTGGAGGCAGAGCTTATTCCCAGGGTCTCTGGCACTCCTAGGGATTTTGGAGAGGCTATTTCCAGTTCTTTCACACCCCTTGCTCCCCCCACAAGGAATTTTGTTATAGTCCCCAGGTGTACTTTGTGTCCAGTCTCCAGGGTGGCCTCCCAGGCCCAGGCCACGGCGGTGCCTCCCCCACCCTCGCTCTAACACCACAGTGTGGTTTGGACGTGGCCACAATGCCGTACAAACCACAGTGTGCTGCTGAGGCGGGAGCAGGACTGGGTGGGTCCAAAGGGAAGGACGACGATAAGGCAGTGCTGTGGAGACTCCTTTCCCACCAGGACCACCACCCTCAGGGAGCTAGGGAAGACTTCAAAGGCAAACTTGGCCCAAGAAAGGTTGGGATAAACAAGGCAGGGAGAAGAGCTGAGTAGGCAACTAGAGGGTCCAGGGGTTCAGGGATGAGCTCACAATCTCAGACTGTAGCCACCTTCACTCCACAGAAACTCAACTCAGGGGACCCCTAAGGTGGGATCAGAAGTGGAGGAACAGGAGAGTGATTATTGGGGACCAACAGATTGCCTCTGACTCAGCTAGGGCTGCGACCCAAGCTTCCTGTGTCCATTCCTCCCCTCCTTGGGTCAGAACCCAAGAGAGAAGCAAGGAGGGATAGAGGGCCAAGGACGGCAGGGTTGGGAGTTGGCAGTCCAAGGTGGTGGGGCTGGAACATGATGGGGAGAGGGGGGCCGGAAGTCGCCCTGGGCCCTGGGCCTGCCACAAGATGGAGGCCAAAAGCAGGAAATGGAGGCTGAGGGAAAAGGGGAGCTGCAGGGCCCAGGAAGGGGGATCATCTGGACATGGGGGTCAGGTCTTCAACCCACTATACTGTCCTCACTTCCCACTGACCCCCAGAGCCCAGGCCCTGTCCCTGAAGCAGTGCCCCATCAGCCCATCCACCAGGCCCAGGCAGGCGGGCCCACCCCAGAGAGCCACGTTTAAGCTGAGACAAACATGCCTCTCCCCACCCCCAACCTGGGCCTTCCCTCAGTTTTCTCCTCCTGTCCAGGACTTGAATCTTTTAAAAGAACCCCCGAGAAGGCCAAATATAAAGACCAAAATCCCTCTGCAAATCAAAATAATACCCTCTAAGAGCCCAAATTCATCCTCCAACCTCCCATCCTACCCTCTACCAGCCCCCTCTGACACACCCCCCCAAAACTCTTAGCAATCAAAAAGTGCTAAGGTGGTGTGTGTTAGCAGTCTTTTTAGGCCCTGAAGAATGCCAGATCCTCCCCTTAAACCACTGTATGTCCTACACCAAATCTCGCCAAGGCCTCGTGCCCTTCACTGCACCATCTGAAGCCCCCCATTTGAGTAGCTGCCCCCTGCTCCCATCATCGGCAAAGCCTTTGTGGGGGTAAAACAAATCAAACACTCTATTAATGGCTGGGAGATTTTGGGGGCACTCTGGTCTCAGACTTTGGTTCTACCTGGTGAACTGCAGTTTAGGGGCACAAGAGAAAGTCTCTCCAATCATCCCCCAAGTCCCAAGTGTCACAAAGCCCAACCCCACCCCAGCACGCACCTCCAAACCTCCCCCCAACCGCCACGTCTCTCCTGAAAACAGGGGACACTGTCCTCCCCACTTACCTCAGCTACTCTCCCCTGAGATCCTGGTCCCCTATTTTTGAAGGGAGAAAAATTTGGGGTGCATCCCTCACATTTAGGGTGCAAGAGAAAGAAGCCACCCCAGTCGCATCGCTGGCCTCCTTCCTCTCGACTGGTTCAGGGAGTGGGGAGTGCCCTAGGGAGGGGGGGACCCCCACAAGAGAGTTCAGGAGGGGGTTTCTCCACTCCAAGTCAGAACTGGGGACACCCCCCCCAAAACCCGTCCCAGCCCATCCGTCTCCAACTCGGCGGGAGAGGCAGCTGCAATGCCCCAGTCAGATTCCCCCAACACTACATTCCTCACCCCATCTAGAGGGGTCCTGGAGCCCCCAAAAAATCTCCAAAAAATCTCGGATGTTGGGAAGACGGTCCTGGACTAGATCCCCAATTTTGGGGTCCTCAGATAGCCCCGTTTTTCCAGGAAAATTCCGCCTTTCGCCTGCCTCCCGCCAGCCCTGCTCTGTCCAGATGCCAATTTTGGAAGTCACTCCCTCCTTCCTCCTCCCCGTCTCTCCAGGCACCCCCCACCACCACCCCCCACCCCCGCTCGGGGGCTAGGGTCCAGGACACCTGGCTTCCAGATCGGGGGGGGGGGGGTGTACTCCCCGAAGGATTAGGGGTCTGGAGGTCAAGCTTATTGCCCCTGTCTTAAGAAAGCAGGAAAGCTCGATCCTCCCTACCCCTCCCCCCTGGCTGGTCTCGGTGGTGGTTTAGGAAAGCCTGGAGGATTGGAATCTGCCATTGCTGTTGCACAGGCAGTTTTTTTTTCCTTGGGTTGGGGGGGTGGGCGGTGGGAGGGAAAGAGGGGAGGAGAGCCGAAAAAAGAAGGGACCCAGGCGTGCAGAGCTGGCCTGAGTTACCCTCTAGCCCCTCTGTGCCGCTGGGAACCCCTCCCCCCATCTCACCCACTCTCCGGTCCTCTATCTGCTTTCTCTTTGGGGCTCTTATCCTAGAAATCAGGGCTCATGAATCACCTCCTTGTACCCCACCACTGCCCCTCTTTGTCACAGTTCCAGTAGCACTGTTCCAGTCGAGGGTGTCCACTTAACCACAAGATAATCTCATTTTCCCCACCTTCCCCTAAACTGAACTGTGCTCCCTTAAGAAGCTGGGGTTCAAACTGAAACCACCTTTTTCTCTCTGAGACTTAACCAAGACAAAAATAAGATGAGACAGCATTCCTCTTCTAAACTTATCCCTTCAAATCCTGGTTCTAACTCCCATCTCCAAATCGGGCTTATTTGGGGGTTCATTAAAGAAAGAGGATTCTAGAACCTGGAGCAAGCAAGACCTATAAACAAAGGATACCACGAGCATAGCATAGTGGCCCAAAGAAGGTGAGCTCCAAAGAAATCTCACCTTAGGTTCCATTCTTCTAGCATACCCACCTTCATCTAATATACTCAAAGAGCAACAAAACACCCCCCAGACAGTGGTATCACAAAACTTTTCTCTCCCACCTTGGGGGATCTTGCCCTGTTTCTCCCCTTGAAAGAGGCTTCTTGGTGATCTATGCACATATTAGCAAGTACTTCCTCTCAGGAAGTTTTCAACATTTTTCAACTATAAAGTTTTAATCCCCCCAAGAATACGACACCCCTCCAATCACAATAAACTTTCAGATTTGCTCCTAGGTTCTTATTATGTTCTACCTCAAGCTAATTTTTAAAAATACTAAATGTTCCTAAGTCTAACAATTTAATCTGGGCCTTGAAACTGATATTATACCCTCAAAGCAGCTATGCCCCAAAACCAGCATGACTTCCCTACATGAAATCAGGTTAAGAGCCTCTCTCTCTCTATATATATATATACACCAGTATATATCAGTAACTGAATTCCCAAGATAAAGCGATCATCTGCTTCCTAAAGTACAATCAGTAGACTCCTGGTATTCTTTATGACCGAGATGGTACAGGTATTAAAAATCCAGAACTAATCTAGCTTGAAGATAAACCCTGTACCTCAAACTTATTATAAGCCCTCAAATATAAATGTAGCCAAGGTGTTCATTAATAATCAACCCAATTAAACACCCTATAATGTGTAGGCACCCCACAACTGACCAGATAACAGAATGTCAATTCAATCTTGACATGACAGGAAGCACCAGTCTGTAAACCCTATCCCTAAACTTCACACAGACTTCTCAAGGCAACTTGCACACACCAAAGTCATCTTGAGTGTTTAGTGGTCCCAGACTCTCCTTTTCTCAGTTCTTCTTGCATGCACTCCAAATTGAGACACTCTTAAATCTAAAAGGACGCAGGGTGGTCAGGCCTAGACATATAGCTCCATGGACAGTGATCAGGGGTACCTGGTCAACTGTAGGCTCTTCTTGAGTCCAAATCCAAGGTGCTCCAAGCTTTGCAGCTGCCCTTAGCTCTGGCTGCCCTTTCCCTAAAGAATACTGGTTCCTCCAAGTCTACTAAAACAAAATATGAAGATGGTGTCCACGCCTGTCTACCAAATAGGGTTAGCAAGCCCCTCCTGCTACCCATCTTTGCGAGGCTTCCATATTTTCCCTCTGTTTACCCCACCTAACTGATAGCCCAGTGGTAAGTAGCTGTGCTGCCAATCTGAAGGCAAGCGGTCCAAACCTGCCAGCTGCTCCTCGGAAGAAACACGGGAAATCTCCTCCTTCCGTATGATTTAATGGATCAGTTCTGACTCAGCAAGAACTGTCATAAAAAGGTGCCCCCTGAAGTCTTCTGGACCTCTGGTGGTGTAGTGGTAAGAAGTTGCACTGCAATCCTGAAGGTAGACTGTTCGAATCCACCAGCTGTTCAGCGAGAAAAAGAAGGGCAATGTCCTCCCATGGGATTAACTAAAACTCGCTGGAGGGCCAGGTATGGGTTGGTTTCAATTTGAAGGTACATAACAACAATAACAACGACCTCTGGATGAAAGTCTCTATCTATGTCTCGATTACAAAAGAAAATCCCCCTCCATGACCCACCCATTGCCTTTGCTCCCCAAACCTTCGTTTTTTCACCTTTCACCTGAAGTAAGACTCTAGGTTCCCAGACCCCGGGAGGAGGGAAAGTAGGGAACTCCCCAAAGGGGCAGAGGTCAGGAGGTCAAACTCATTGTTCCCGCCCTAGGGAAGCAGGAAAATCAGATTCACCTTTTCCTTTCCCCAGGTAGGAAGGGGGAAAGTCCCCCCTGAAACACCTCCCCCCTTCCCCTCTGCCCAACGTACTTCCCTCCTAGAAGGCGGAAGGGGTAAAACACCATAGCTCCAAGTGGAAGAGCCCTAGGGTTGGAGCGCCCATACCCAGCAGCAGCGCGCCTGACAGCGAACCACCAGCTGGCGGCGCCGCTCGGCCACGGCCAGGCTTGTGCTCGTCCGCCCCCTCGTGGAAGGAGCCGGCCATTGCAGAGCTCTGTGGCCTTGCCGCGCTGGACCCCGGCGTCCCGCCAGCCCCAAAGCGTGGCCGACGGGCGGGTGCGTGGGTCCTTAGGGAACTGGGATTGGAGGAGGGCGGCTCTGCTTTGAGTATGCCTCTCTGGATCCCTAAAAGGATTAATAAGAGAATCAGGAGCGAGAGGCCGGACGCCTAGATCTCGAGCGTCTCTCAGCCCCCACTTGGGCTTTCCCCACCTCCTCGAGGGGAAGCAGCTGGCTCCGGTCGCAGGACAATGGAAGGAAACCAACTAGAAATCATATCCGCCAACTCCCTACCTCGCCCAGTTAGCGTCCCCCTTTTGTAGATCCTTTAGAGCTTGCCATTCACAGCACAAGTTCTCACTAAGACCCCACAGGAGCTCCCTGTCCTCTAACCTGGTACCTCTTTGGAAAGCTTCGCCTTTGCCCTTTAGCACCACGCACTGGGCTGAGTTTTGTTGTATTCACTTTCTTCTGCAACGATCTCCTAGTATCTTCTCCTAAAGCCACCAGAGCAAGTCTTTCTGTCTTGGGCCCTCCAACGACCCAGGTCACCCATATTTCCAGCCTCGATGTCCCCAGCCTCCTCCTCAATTCCAGCATCCTATTCCTCAGTTCCACTCTCTGTGGCCCAAGACCCCCTGCTTTTCAGGAACGACCACCTCGGGTTTCCGAGGTCCCGCCCTAAGCCGGAGACCCCGCCCGGGATTTGCCATCTGCAGAGTAAGGGAGGAAGGAAGGATACAAATCCAGGCGGTCACCCCACCTCCACCCCCCGCCCCCAACATCCCGGCCAGATAAAGGCGCCAGGGCCAAGAGGGAAACAGGAGACCCCGCCCCCTTGAGAAGAGAAGCCGCAGCCCCTGCAGGACAGGGGTAAGAACATGAAACCAAGTGGGTCTAGGCTTCTGGGTCCCCTAGGAGAGGCTGAAATTTGTTGATGGTTGGAAAACGGAGTCCCAAGAATTGTGTTAAAGTAGGGATGGGGGACCCGATAGGAGAAACAATATTGGGTGATTCGGGGAAAGAAGTTAGAGGTGTGGACTACTGGACGACTGAGCTGGTGGGACATCTAAAACTCGGGTGCGCAGTGAAATAGAGGAGTGGAGGGGGCAGTGCTAGTGGGATACTAGAAACCAAACTGGGGCGCTGCGTGCCGGGTTCCCATGCTCTCCATTGACGCCATGGTGTGGGGACCTTCAATGTACCCCGGGTGCTGCGCTATCTAGAGGAGGGTTGGGAAGCAATGGAGTGTATGAGGCAGAATGAACAAGATTAATTAAGTGTCGGGACCAAGGCTGGGGCTCTGGGTACCCGTTAGAAGGAGAAGGCAAGCAGAGGACAGGAAGGCGTCTAGTCTTCCGAACTGGGACTGTCAAGAGCCCTGAGCCCTATCGGTGGCACCCGCAGGCCGGCGTCGCTATGGGATCCACCGCGGGCCCGGACGGAGCCCTGGGCTACGTCCGCGAGTTCACGCGCCACTCCTCCGACGTACTCGGCAATTTAAACGAGCTGCGCCTGCGCGGGATACTCACTGATGTCACGCTGCTGGTTGGCGGGCAACCCCTCCGAGCACACAAGGCGGTTCTCATCGCCTGCAGGTTTCAGGGAGGGGGTTTCCTGGGCCCGACGCGTCTAGATGGGAAAGGAGCGGGACCCTATGTGGGCGGGGCAGGAGGCAGGGCTTCCGGGAAATGGGGCGGGGCTTCTAGGGGTGTGGCTTTCAACAGTGGAGGGAGTCTTGAGTCCCCCCTCATCCCCTAACAATATTCATCTGCACTTTCTCTAGTGGCTTCTTCTATTCCATTTTCCGGGGCCGTGCCGGAGTAGGGGTGGACGTGCTCTCCCTGCCTGGAGGCCCTGAAGCTGGAGGCTTTGCACCCCTTCTGGACTTCATGTACACTTCACGCCTGCGCCTCTCTCCTGCCACTGCCCCCTCTGTCCTCGCAGCTGCCACCTACCTGCAGATGGAACATGTGGTTCAGGCATGCCACCGCTTCATCCAGGCCAGGTAAGGGAGCCCCAGCGCAGGGCTCAATGTGAGCGAAGTGATATGTCCCAAGTGTCAAGGGCAAGGTTAGTCAATGCACTAATGTCCATCATGCTTTCCCCAGTTATGAACCTCTGAGCATCTCCCTGCGTCCGCTGGAGGCAGAACCCCCCACACCTCCAACAGCCCCTCCACCAGGCAGTCCCAGGCGCTCTGAAGGACACCCAGATCCACCTACTGAATCTCGCAGCTGCAGTCAAGCCCCTCCCAGTCCATCCAGCCCAGACCCCAAGGCCTGCAACTGGAAAAAGTACAAGTTCATCGTGCTAAACTCTCAAGCAGGAAGCCTCGCAGGAGAGAGGAGTTCTGGTCAACCTTGCACCCAAACCAGGCTCCCCAATGGCGATGAGGCCTCCAGCAGCAGTAGCAGTAGCAGCAGCAGCAGCAGCAGCGAAGAAGGACCTATTCCTGGTCCTCAAAGCAGGTACAGAATCTGGACCAGAGAATCTATTTACAGTGGTTGGCCTCGACTAGGAGTTCTGTGTGATCAGGAAGCAGGGAGACGGTGGAGGACTGGGATAGGGGGTCAGATATACTAGGCCACATTGTCACCCATGGTTAACACACTCAACTGAAATGTTGGAGGTTCAAGTACACCCAAAAGCACCTCCAGAGAAAGGTCTGGAAAGCTACATCCAGTCAGCCACTGAAAACCCTATGGGAGCATAGTTGTATCCAAGAGACTGCTATGAGGCCAAAATCAACACAGGAACAACTGGTAACCTACCTAAGGGAGTGAGACCAGCCATGTTCAGTGGGTTAGGAACATTAACTCATCGGTTAATATTATACCTATTCCAGCAGGTAGGCATTTGATTCTCAGTTTCTGGGGAGAACCTCCCTCCATAGAACTTTGCATAACCCTTCTCTCTTGGCCTTGCCATCTGCTAGGCCCTCTCCCCTTGCAGCTGCCACACGGTTCAAATCCGAGACTCCATCCAGTACCCCTCATCTCCTCACGCCCAGGGCCCAGGAGACCACCAGATCACCTGCTGAGCGGGCTCGTCCATCACCAGGTGAGAGCCTTTCATTCCTGGCCTGACTGCTACAGGTCACTTTGGGCCAAAATGCCTCTAGAAAGGCCTGTTATGAAGGCCTAGATTTTACTGCAAATTAGAACCACCTGGGAATCTTTAAAAAGCCCTACTACTCAGACCCCATCATATAAATCAGAATGTCAAACATTAATATTACTCAAGATCCTAGGTAATTCCAGTGAGCAGCAAAGCTTCAGAACTTCTAGCTTAACTCATGCCCAGGGCGTGGCTAGTCCTCCCTAGCAGGCCGGCATCCAGAGTGGTTCAAAAGAGACTGGTCCTCCACTGACTGACCAGCACCACTGCAGGAGAGATTAGCAAGGTACTCTGAAGTCAGTCGGAGAGCTTTGGTGGCCTAGTGCTAAGAAGCTGCGTTACAGTCCCAAAGGCATGCAGTTCAAGTCCACCAGCTGCTCCACGGGAGAAGGATGGGCAATCTTCTGTGCAACTAGTTGCCTCTGAAAACCCGCTGGAGGATCAGCTATGGATCAGTTCCAACACAATGGCACCCAACAACTGAAGTTAGGTGGGGAGTCAGATCTTGGCTCACCCTCTTAGTTTGGTACCAAGGAAGTCTTCATATAAATACTGTCATCACCCACTTCTCTACCCAGGAAGTGATTTTTTCAGCTGCCAGAACTGTGAGGCTATGACTGGGTGCTCCTCGGGGCTGGACCCCTTGACTTCTGGAGAGGAGGACAAACCCTACAAGTGTCAGCTCTGCCACTCGGCCTTCCGTTATAAAGGCAATCTTTCCAGTCACCGCACCGTGCATACAGGTAGCACTGAGCAGGGCCGGCAGGGATCCTTGACCTTTCTGGCCATAAGTGACCCAGCGCACAGTGTCCCTGACCTCCCTTCCTTCCTACTCCCAGGAGAGAAGCCTTACCACTGTTCCATCTGCGGAGCTCGCTTTAACCGGCCAGCAAACTTGAAGACACACAGCCGTATCCACTCAGGAGAGAAGCCCTATAAGTGTGAGACGTGTGGCTCAAGATTTGTTCAGGTATGGAGCCAGCGAGGGAGTGAGTTCAAAGGCAAACATTTGAGGAAGGGAGGGCGGGCCATCTCTCTCCCAGAAACACCACCTGAGGTCTCTTCTCCTTCCAGGTAGCTCATCTGCGCGCACACGTGCTGATCCACACTGGGGAGAAACCTTACCCTTGTCCCACCTGCGGGACTCGCTTCCGTCACCTCCAGACCCTCAAGAGCCATGTTCGCATCCACACCGGAGAGAAGCCTTACCACGTGGGTAGCTGACCCAACCTGGCCCAAAGTTTAAGAATGGCCTTCCCTTAGGCCAGGCGCAGGTACAAGGCTTGCAGTACGCAGGTCTGTTGGAAGCAGGCAGTGCTCTGAGGAGTCTTGGTTAAGTGGGGGCCAGGAGAGTGAGGAAAGACATGTCTAAGTTATCTCCTGGATGCAGCAAGTGGTGCTTTCCCCTAGATGAGCTAAACAAACAAAACTGCATCCAGTTCCCACGGAGTGTATTCCAGCAGAGAACTGTGTGTTAAGGGATTTTCAAGGCTATAACCTTCTGGAAGTACATTAATAGGTTTTTCTTTCAAAATGCCTCTGGATAAGTTTAAACCAGCAGCTTTCAGGGGGTAGTCAAATGCTTAATTGTGCCATCCAGTGACTCCCGGGGAGGAGTGGGCAATAACCAGTAGGAAAACTTTTTCTAGAAAAGGTGGGATCTGGTGAGTTCTGGTGGTCTGGTTCAAATCCACCAGGTTCTCTGCTGGAGAAGGAGGGACAATCTCCTCCTGTACCAGTCAGATCTGATTTGACAGTACACAAACATAAATAATAAAATTTTTTAAAAAAAGAAAGAAAAGGTGGGATCTGTCTCCTGTGCCACCTCTAGGAAGCCAGAGTAAAATTTCTTATGTGACTGAGAGTGGGACATATTCCCTTCGACCAAGAACTAAAAGGTGGTTGGGGGGGGGCGGGGAGAGGGGAACCTGACCTTGTGTTCTCTCACAGTGTGACCCCTGCGGCCTACATTTCCGGCACAAAAGTCAACTGCGGCTGCATCTTCGCCAAAAGCATGGAGCTGCCACCAACACCAAAGTGCACTACCACATCCTGGGGGGGCCCTAGCTGAGGTGGGCCCCAGACCCACTTCGCCTCCAGGGAGTCAGGATGCTGCAGGCTCAGGCCTGGCTTCCTCCAGGACACATTTGGGCAGGGGAGTATACAGGGCCCCAGAAACTACCACCAACTTGATTTCTCATTGGGAAGAGCTGGGGTGGCAGGTCCCAGCAAGATCTGCTTCTGTTTTGCTGGCCAAAACCTCTTTCCTGCACCTGAGGTGAGGGCAAGATAAAGGAGGCCTGGTTGCCTTAAGGGGAACAGCCCTTAAGGGGTACCCCATCTCATTCAGTTTGTCTGTAAATATAATTTATTGAGGCCTCTGGGAGGCACCAAGGCCATCATTCTATTGCATTTTTTCCTTCCCTCCTCCACAAGTGTGATTAAAGTGACCCAAAACACGGAGTGTGAGATCATAGCTCTGCTGGCAGAGATTGGCATTTAGCTCTCTCCTTTGGCTGGTGTATTTCATGTTGTTATTGCTATAACTTTTACCTTTAGAATTCTTCTTTCCCTTGTATATGCCCATTGGTTTGTTTATAATGGAGAAAGGGGTTCCCCATGTTCTGTCCCTTCGTTTCTAGGTCTAGAACCTTTTATTTGCTCTAGGGCAGGTCTAGCACTAGGTAGTATTGTAGAATTAGATCGGGAGCTCTCTCTTTGGTGTTGACTATGGTAGGTAAGTTCTCTATCAGACTAAAATTGGACCTAGGCTTTTTCCTATTCTTCAAGAGTGACAAGAACCTTTATGGTGAACCTGAGGCAACGGGTGTGGAAAATGGTGATCTTTCCTGCAAGGCGATCCAGAGCCTAAACTGTCCCCATAATCTGGTCATCTGGGTCTGGTTTAACTATGGTTCTATGTACAAGTCTACCATGGTAGAGATGACCCAGGAGCTTGAGTGCAGAATCTTCCCATGGGGGCCTGTTCCTGGCACCAGGTTGATCTTCCATGGGAGAGAAGTCTGGAATTCTTTGTCAGAGGTGATGTGACTTATTCTGCTAAGAATGTTACAATCTCAGAGAGGACACCTTACCTTTACAAAATCTGAGACATGAACTGAAGGGGCATCTGGATTTTCCATGTTCAATAGGCTTCTCTCTGAGATGGGCCCTGTCTTCTTTGAACAATTTTTTTTTCTATTTCCAAATACCCAAATTCCAAAAGCTTCTCTTTTGACTTTAGAAATCATAAGTGCTTGGTAACTTTCTTACCTTAGAAAAGTTTCATCTGTGACCCAGTCTTTCGGTCACTATATTCTTATATGGAGCCAGCGAATGCACTAGAACTTTCCAGAAGAAAGAGAAAGGGGCTGAGTTCCATTCTGAGGCTGCTGTCAATTGTAGTTGATATTATTGATGGAATTCAAGGTTTAAAGGTTTCTTGTGATTGGCTGACCGATAGACTATTCTAGTAATAGATATTCTAGTAGGATAGAGAAGCTGGTTGAGGGGAGCAGTTTCTGGGGTAGGCCAAGCAGGTAGAAGGTTGGGAGTTAAGAGTTGCCTCTTGGCTGGAATATTGTGAACAGGAGATAATACTTACAGGTTTATAGTCTTGGACCTCATTACCCTGGGGCTTATTTGGTTATGGGGCATGGGGTTGAATTTGTGGGGCAGAACTTCCTCAAGATAGTGGGTGTCACGTGGAGCTGGGTAAAAAAGAGACTTCTCTAATTCTTCATTGCAGCATTGGAAGAGGGGAGGAAGCAGAGTTGTGAGAAGCAGCTATGGGTTTTATTTAGCAAATTCGAAGGGAGATGGGAGTGGGTAAAGAGTGCCTGGGAGATGAAGGATTTGTCAGCTCAGATTCTTGGAATAAAGAAGCTTCTCAATATTGCCTGGTGTGTCCTGGATTCTTCTTTATGAAAAAGCTGGGGAAGAGTTCCCCCCCCCCCCGCCCCAATACTGCTTTGGATTCTGTGCCCATTTTACCATCCCATCCCACCAGACATTTTAAATGGCACTTGCATCCCCTTCCCCACCCTGGCCTTCCGGCTTATTGTGTAGGGACTTGTGATTTCATGAAGTTTGTCCGGATCCACCTGCATCCTGCTTCTCTGAAGTCACTTCCTGCCTGAAGTGTGGAGGCATCAGGGAGAAAGCTGGAACCACCTCACACTCCCTACCCCACAATATGTAGAAGCTGGGGGATGAGTCTGGGCTGGGAATCTTAATGGGACCCTACCTTCAAGGAATAGGATTGTTGTTGTATACTGTAGAGTTGGAACTGACCCAAAGCTGCCCCTCCAGTGGGTTTTCCAAGGCAGTAAATCACATGGGAGGAGAGTGGCCATCTTCTCCAACAGAGCAGCTGCTGGATTCACACCTTTGGGTTGGCCGTGCAAGTCCTTACCACTAAACTGCTAGTGCTGGAAATGGATAGGATTTGGGTCCCATGATGTTAACAAGGATTTGAGGGGCCAGTGAGAAGGCTATGTAGTTAGGAGACAACGTGACAATTCTACTCTCTATAGCAATGGTATCCTAGTATATGTCCAGTGCATGCTCCTCTCCTACCTTTTCCCTTATCCTGTATGTATTCTGGGATCCACAGATCTATTCTGACCTAAAGCAGAAAGTTGGCCACTAATTCCAATCAGTTACCTTCTTTTGAACCTTCAAATCCTTATCTGTGGTGTAAGTCATGGTCTCTGAAGTCCCTTCTAAAGTTAACACTTGAGGTTGTATTTCTCAATCTTTTAAAATCCATTACTTACTTTTTTTTAAAGCAGAAAGAACAAAACCAAGACCTGTCTTCCTTCACGCATACCACAGTTAACCCCTGTTGATAATTAGATAGAAAACAAACAACAAACCAGCTAATAATAATCTGTAAATTACCTACATGCCATTTCCTACACAAAGCATTTTAAAGCATAATTTTCTAATTCAGCTGCTCTCTTTCAACAATCCTCAAAAATAGGTACTACCATTTCCAATTAAAGGCACAGCTGCCCCATGGGAGAAAGACAGGCAATCAACTCCTGTGCAGTACTGCCTCTGAAAATGTGCTGGAGGGTTAGTGATTTACTGCTCTGAAAATCGGTGGAGGGTCAGCTATGAGTCTGTTCTGACTTGATGGCATATAACAACAGTTCTCAATTAGGGAGCTCTGGTGGCCCAGGGGCTAAGAATCCACTAACTGCTCCCTGGGAGAAAGATGGAAATCTCCTTACTTGCAATTTACAATCTCTGAAAACTCACCGGAGGGTCTGCTATGTCTAAATTCTGACTCAACAGTAAATAACAACAGCACTCACAATCAACAGATGTGGAAAACAAGTCTGATCTTACAAAGTGTAAGCTCTTGGGCGCTCTGTTATGCCTTTTCTGGCATTTTTTTGCATATTCACCATGAGCCAGATTTGATTCACACACAAAAATACAATTATTTTTTTTCCATATAAAATTATAAGGGTCAGAATGCTTTTTAAAGAACTACACAACTTCCTTTCTCCTTTTTGTTATGCTTTTCTCCCCATTGGTCATAATATGAACCCTTGGAGCCTGGATTATAATCAAGGGCTGCAGGTCTGACTGCTCCAGAGGCCAGTGATAGGTTTTCTCTATAGTTTTTGAACAGTGTGTGTGTGTTTTGGTTAGGAAGGGGCTGTTACTAGAAGGCAGCGGAAACCCAGTGAGGAAAGGGGTAGGAGGTGTTGATGGGGCTCTCGGTGAACTCTCAGCCGCCCTTCCTCTCAGCTATTTTTGGTCTCTGAGACTTGTAGGTTTCCGGTCCGTGGGAACAAAATTGAGAGTTCTCCCCAGGAGTCCATTAGCCCCTTTCCCTTCTTCCTGCCCTCCTCCTCTAGGTGATCCAAGGATCCAGGGGTCTAAATTTTAAGAGCTGAGTTAGTAGGCTCTGGAGCTCTGCCTGGAACGTCGTTTGCGTCTCATCCCTCCCCCACCTTCACCCCCAAGGACATGCGATTTCCTAGGTCCCTCATTTAAAAACTTGAGCGCTTTTCATTCCTGACACCAGCTTACCCATTATGTACCCTTACCCTCTCGCCATTGATTTTTTACACGCGGATCTTGGTACCGAAATCTGAACGATTTTGCCCGCAAGATTAAAGCCAGAAGCAAAAACTGCTACCTAGTCTTCTGTGTCCCTAGCTAGTCGCTTCCTAGACCATCTCCCCACCCCTCCCAGGACCCAATCACCGTTTACGCATGCGCCCTGTACACCGCCTCTAGGCTGGAGGGAGGCCCTAAACCCCGCCCTCCCTTGCTGGCCGCGCCCTTTGCTCAGAAGTCCGGCGTTTTCATTGGCCAGCTATGGACCAGGATGTAGGCCTCAATGGGCCAGGTGCTAACAACTCCAATGATTCAATGGACAATCCAAAGGATGAGTGATGCGCCCAAGGGGTGTAGCCCAAACCCAATCCTGCCCTTCACCTCACAGACTAAGCCTTGGCCCCGCCCCCACCTGCCGGGCTCGGGCCTCTTGGGTCCCAGCAGCGGAGCCACGCCCTCGGGGCCAAGTGCACCACCACCCGCCGGTTCTCCCCGCTACCAGCGCCCCTCTTGCGGGAAGGGACTGCCTGGTGTCATTTTTTCTGCAGCCTTCAAGCCTGCGCCACTTCCAGCCTCTCCTTCTCCATCGGCTCCGAGCTGCCTGGCTGGGTGGGTGAGCGGGGGTGGAGCGCCCTAAGCCTGGTCTCCTAGTGGCGGAGATCCTGTGACTACCCCCCACCTATGGCGCGCGGGGCTGAGCCTCCAGACGGGGGCTGGGGGTGGATGGTGGTTCTCTCAGCCTTCTTCCAGTCGGCGCTCGTGTTCGGCGTGCTCCGCTCCTTCGGCGTCTTCTTCGTGGAGTTTGTGGCGGCGTTCGAGGAGCAGGCGGCGCGTGTCTCCTGGATTGCCTCCATAGGAATCGCGGTGCAGCAGTTTGGGAGTGAGTGCTGCGTCTGGAGCCAGAGTCCTTTGTCTCCTCTAGAGGGAGAGGAGATGCAAGGGCTGGGTGGGGGCAGGGACCGGTGCTGGAGAAGGATGCCTGGGACCTTCCCGAAGAACCCCTTCCTCTTCTCCAGGCCCTGTAGGCAGTGCCCTGAGCACGAAGTTCGGGCCCAGGCCCGTGGTGATGACCGGGGGCATTTTGGCGGCTCTAGGGATGCTGCTCGCCTCCTTTGCTACCTCCTTGACTCATCTATATTTGAGTATTGGGCTGCTGTCAGGTGAGACCCTGGACAAAAGCAGGCGACTAAAATGCCCTGAGTCTTTGGACTCTGAACTTATGCTGTGTGTTCGCTGGGGAAAGTATGGCTAGCAAGCAGGCCCGGAAGAGCACTCTTAGGGGGATGATAAGCATGTTCAGGAAATGAAAAGATGGTGAATCAGAATATACAGAATCCGGCTATGAATAGATATCATCCTATTTGCATATGAAGAAAGACTAGAAGATTATGCAATTTGGCAGAAACGGGAGAGGCAGAACTTAATGCCAACGTTCTGTGCTAGTTACTTTCCCAGCATTATCCCTAATTTCCCAGTTTCATAAAATATATTGTCCCCACTTTGCAGATGTGATAACTGAAGCTGAGAGAGTAAAACACATTAGATCATACAGCTAAAATACATGAAAACCAAGACTTTAACTTAGGTCTTTGAGACTCCTCAGATAGTGGTGGGATTACCTGGGGCTCAGAGGCCCCTCAGTCCCTCAACTCCCATTTCTTCCCTTTTTGGCAGGCTCTGGCTGGGCCTTGACCTTCGCTCCAACCCTGGCCTGCTTGTCCCGTTACTTCTTCCGCCGTCGATCACTGGCTACAGGGCTAGCACTGACAGGCGTGGGCCTCTCGTCCTTTGCCTTTGCCCCCCTCTTCCAGTGGCTGCTAAATCACTATGCTTGGAGAGGTGCTCTGCTGCTGGTATCTGCCCTCTCTCTCCACCTGGTGGCCTGTGGTGCTCTCCTCCGCCCCCTTTCGCTGACTGAGGACCCTGCTATGGGTGGCCCTAAGACTCAGCTTGCCTCCCTCCTTCATCACGGACCCTTCCTTCGCTACACTGTTGCCCTCACCCTGATCAACACTGGCTACTTCGTTCCCTATGTACATCTGGTGGCCCACCTCCAGGACCTGGATTGGGACCCGCTGCCTGCTGCTTTCCTACTCTCAGTGGCTGCTATTTCTGATCTTGTGGGACGTGTAGCCTCTGGGTGGCTGGGTGATGCAATCCCGGGGCCAGTGTCACGACTCCTGATGTTCTGGACCACCCTGACAGGGGTGTCACTGATCCTGTTCCCCATCGCTCAGGCTCCCACAGCCCTAGTGGTTCTGGCTATAGCCTATGGCTTCACATCAGGAGCCTTGACCCCAGTGGCTTTCTCCATACTGCCTGAACTGGTGGGGACTGGAAGGATATACTGTGGCCTAGGATTGGTGCAGATGGTTGAGAGCATCGGGGGGCTCCTGGGGGCTCCTCTGTCAGGTAAGGGCAACATGTTGCACAACTAGAGGGAATACTGTTCATGTAAGAATGTATCTGAATACTACCCCTGGGCTTGTATATTACATAACCTGCATGGCCATTCATAGCAGCCGTGAAGTGAACCTAGGAGGCAAAGAAAACTTGGCCTGGGAAGTTAAGTGGAAAGATATGGGGAGCTAAGCATAATCCTTGGCAGGATGGCTACAGTTTGGATTTTTAGAGGCGCTGCTGAGCCTGGCCATGCTTAGCATGCCAGTGTCTTCCCTTTCCCTTGGCCTACTGGGTTCCAGCCCAAGTGTCTCTTCTTAGCCATCTGATCAAAGTTCTTCAGACTCAAGATGCCTGAACCTTCAGACCCTTAAATGTTTTCCTCTTAACTAATTAACTGAAGGTGGATAAAGGTCATCGTTGCCAGAAAAATAGACACAAGCATGACTGGATCCTATCTATAGCCCAATGCCCCACTGGCTGATGAGGAGGTCCTGATGTGTGGTCTGAAAGGCAGGAAAGGGAAGGCCTATGGTGAAGCTTAGAACTTCTTCATTCAGTCCTGCCTTTGGAATGCAGCTCTTCCACAATGATTGCGTTAAAGCATATTTTGTTTCCACCCAAAGAGTCTTAAGTCATCAACTACAGGGAACAGATCACCATGTGCATTCTTTCTCTCTTGGACCTAGGCTACCTCCGGGATGTGACAGGCAACTACACAACTTCTTTTGTGGTGGCAGGGGCCTTCCTCATCGCAGGGAGTGGAGTTCTTCTAACCCTGCCTGGCTTTTTCTCCTGCGTCTCACCACCTACCTCCAGGCCCCAGGACTTTATCAATGAGGCCCTAGATACCAAAGTCCCCCTGCCCAGGGAAGGCGTGGGAGAGAACTGAACTCGGGCCCAGAGGACGAAAGATCCATGCCTTCTCCTCATGCCCTTTCTTGGTCCCCATGGAACCACTGTGCCTTAAACCGCCTGGTAGCCTCCACCCCCTACCCCCCCCCCACGCAGGACTGTGAAACGTGTGCCAACACTTTATTTTGTCAACTACTCCTATCTCTTATCTGGCTCTACCAACTTTTATGAAGGATTCTGCGATCAGCCTGCCCCACTGAGTTGTGCATCAGCTGTGAACACCACAGGCTAAGGATGTCTTTACATAGGATCTCTAGTGTTGCCTTCAAGTTTTTTCTTCTCCAAAGACAGAGATATTTGGAAAACAGGAATGTCTCTTTGACATGAAACTGCTAAGAACTCTGGACAGTAATAACTCAAGCAGAGCTGCGGCTCATCTGCTTGGTTCAGCTAAATGGAATCCTTTCTGGAGAATAACCAAAGCTGGTGCCCAGAAACTCTGATGACCCAGAGCATCTGAGCCCTCAACTCGGCTCTGAGCCTCCCCCCACCCCATCCCTCTATGTCACTATCTTCTTGTAACTTCTTAGTGTTATGTGCCATCAGTTGGAACTGACTCACAGCTGACCTTCCAGCCAGTTTTGAGACTGTCACACAGGAGAATGCCTATCTTTCTCCCTCAGAGCAGCTGGTGGGATTCAAACTACTAGTCTTTGGGTTGGCAGCAAAACTCCTTACCCACTAGAACTCTCTTGTGACTTAGAGAAGAAATTAAGGTAATGGGGAGTAGGTTGCAAGGTGGGGAAAGATCTGAATCGGTGATTCTTGTATTTCTCTCAGGCCCCTAGAATGGGATAGCAATGCAAGCAAAGTGTTAGTTTGGGAGGTGTGGATACTCAGGAAAGAGGAAATGATGGGAACGAGCACCTCTCCTTAAAGACTTAAGCTGACTGACAATTCTTGAAGAATCCCTGTTAAAGACTCAGAATCCTGTTCCTTTCAATGAGGCTTTTTGAATATCTTACTGAGCGTGCTTCCAGGGGCCTAGTTTTGCTAACAGTGGAGCTTGCAGGAAAAGGGACAGGAATTCTTTATTGGGGGATTAACAAGCGGTGTCCACAGTGGGATGAGGGCCTCTCGGGGTGAGCAGGGTAGCCTGAGGAACTGGAAGCAGCTCTCCCACCTCAGGGGGTGGTGTGGCTGGATGAGAAGTTGGACCACAGGATGGCAGTGCCCTGGGCAACCCCATGTAGATGAAGCTGCCAGACAGGATGAAGGAGCCGCACATGAGGAAGGAGGCAGTGAAGTCTCCGGTTTCATCCCTCAGGAAGCCTGAGAGGAAAGGTAGAGGAGCTTAGTGGCCTTAGACCCCAGGGCAAAAGAAGGATCAAAATGGATGTTCTGGCTCCCCTTACCTGACAGAGGAGGGCCCAGGAGCCCCCCAAGGCTCATCAGCATCATCACTAGTCCGGTGGCCTGCACAACACCTCCAATGCCCACTAACCCTGGGAGGACCCCAAAAACCAGCGGGGCATAACTTCCGGCGCTCAGCCCATAGGCCCCCGCTGCTGCAAGTAGAGGTCCCCCCCAGTCCCCGCTCCCGACCACCGGCACCAGGCCCACGGCTAGCAGCCCCAGACCTGTCAGAGCTCCGAACACCACCAGCAGCCGAGGGAGGGGCACCCAACCCTGGTCGGCCACCCACCCGCACACCAGCCGGGCGCCTGCATCCCCCACTGCAGCCACTGCTACCACCAGCGCTGCTCCATACCCCCCTAGACCCCTATCTAAGGCATGAGGGGCCAAGTGCACATAGGGGATGAAGTATCCGCCCCCCACCAGGGCCGTGCCCAGAGCAAAGACAGAAAAAGCTGGGCGAGTGAAGAGACCCAGGCCAAGGGCTGCAAAGGGCCCGCGAGAGGAAGCCACGGGGTCCTCAGGGAGGGTCAAGGGTCGCAGCAGGGCGCCACAGGGGGTGAGGTGCAGCGTGATGGCGCCAAGGAGGAGCAGGGCGCCCCGCCAGCCGAAAGTGTCCAAAAGGAGCTGCAAGGCGGGCGCCAGGAGCAGCGAGGCGGCACCGTTGCCGGTGAGCGCCAGTCCCACGGCCAGGACTCGACGGCGAGCGAAGTAACGAGAGAGGGTGCCCAGGGCGGGGGCGAATACCAGCGCCCAGCCGGAGCCTGCGAGTGGAAGGGGTGGGCTGAGGGCAGGTGCCGGGGGCTGCACAGTGTCCCCAGCCCTCCTCCGGGCCGTGGCTCCCCCAACTCCCCTCCCCTGTACTCTTTACAGACCTCAGCGCACCCCTGCACCCCTTACCGAACCCAGCACACCCCTGCACCCCTTACCGAACCCAGCACACCCCTGCACCCCTTACGGACCACAGGACACTCCCATGTCCCCCTCATCTCACCAGCAAGGAGGCCCAGGCCGAGGTAAAGGTGCAGTAGGCTGCGGGCGAAAGCCGACAAGACGAAGCCGAGAAAGGCGAGGATGCCCCCAAACATGACCACCGGGCGCGCCCCCCAGCGGGTGCTCAGGGCACTGCCCACGGGGCCTAGAAGGGGGCGCAATCAAAAGAAGGCACGCCCCCGGACCCCCAAACTCGGCCGCACACTTCTCATTGGCCTGTTACCTGGTCTAAGCTCCGCCCCCGTCCCGGTGGCCCCACCCCTTGCCCTCCAAACCCGCTCCTCTCCTGAGCTAGGGTTCTCCACCCGTCGGTCGACCTTTCTGAGCTTGTGAGGTCGTCTGCTGTTGCGAGAGCCTCCCCCACCACCACGCGCACCACCATTCCCGCCTCCCAATTCGGGCGCCCCCTCACTGGCTGCCTGCTGCACCGCCAGGGCCAGGGCGCTGACCCACGCAGTGTCCTGGGCGCTGCGGTCAAAGTGCTCGGCGAAGTCAGGGAGGGCTAGGCCCAGGGAGCGCAGCATCCCGTAGGAGAGCCCATTCACCGCAAAGGCAGAGGCCGCGACCACCCAGCCCCAGCCCCCATCCGGAGGTCCGGCCGGCTTGGGGGTCATCGCCATCTGCAGGGGTAGGAAAACACCTGTGAGCGAGGTCTGCTCTCCTGCGCCTCTGCCGGGGACCCGGTATTATCGAAAGTCCGCCTCCCAGGGTGGGCATGTCACACGGAGCAGGCCAGGAGGGGGCGGGGGACCAAGGGGACAGGGAACCAGGCCTGCGGGGGGCGCTCCGGGGTCTGCATGAGGAAGCGGGCGGGGAAGGGAGCGGCTGGATCCCCGAAAGCCCGGTGCTTCCCCTCCCCGCACCCTCTGGCTCCCTTACCCGACCTCTTCGGGCGGTGGGGGGTGGGGAAGGGCGAGGAAGGTTCCGCCGGGTTGTCGCCCCGCTTCCTGAGGCAGGCGGGGTCCCGGAGGGTATCGAGGGTCTAGAAGGAGGCGAACTTGAACGGGATCTCCTGTATAAACAGAGAGCACCAGCGGGGCCCTAGGTACCTGGGGACTCACGGGGGGAGGGGGGCGGGGGCGCGCTGCGAGTCAGCCAATCGGCGGAGCTGCGGGTGAGGCGAGCCGCCGGCTCCCACGGGGATCGAATGAGCCCACACGCCCCCCAGGCCCGCGGAAGGGCGCGCCGCCCCGCCCCCTCTCGCCCACGCACCTGCGGGCCTGCGCCGGGCGGGGGCGCGCAGACTGCAGGCTTACAGGGCCGGGGGTCGCAGGCAGGGCGGGAAGGGGGTGTGGCTTAGCGCAGCGGGAGAGGCTGTGGGGACCTTTGCTGGGCCCCAGGTAGATCTCGGCGCAGACCTCTACTCCTGCTCGGTGCTCTACAATAACTTGACCTGGGGAGCAGAGAGGAAAGACCGAGAAATAGGTCTGCACTTCGTTGTGAGAGCATGTGATGTGCTGGGCGCATCTCTTAATAGTAACCCTTTAAAGAAAGTATCATCCCTGTTTTAAGTGAGACGTAACTAAAGCTTAAGGAGCTTTAGTGGGTGGGGAGTAGTGCTGCTAATACAAAGACAGGCAGTTCGAATCCACGGGTAGTTAGCCACACAGAGGAAAGATGGGCAGTCTTCTCCCATGAAAGTTACAGCCTCTGAAAACCCGCTAGAGGGTCATCTCTGAATCTTTCCGATTCTACAGCAAATGAGTATGTGAACTATGGCTTGGAGAGAGGATAGATGGATGACCTGCCCCAAGTCATCCAAGCTAAAAAGTAGTACAAAAATATTTGAACGAGGGTCAATTCAACTGCAGGACTGTATGTACAGGAACACACCTGGGACTGACAATGAATCTGACTCGTTGTTGTTAGGTGTCGTTGAGTTAACTATGAGTCTGATGACCCTATACGCAGCAGAGTGAATCCTACCTGAACTGTGCTATCCTCACAATCTCTGCTATGCTTAAAATCATTGTTGCAGTCGCTGTGTCAATTTCTCTCGTTGAGGGTCTTACTATTTTTCTCTTGACCCTCTAGTAAGCATGAAATGATTGAAGTTGTCACTAATTTCATATTACTTGCATCCACAATCAACACCCTTGGTACCAGCAGTCAGGAAATCAGGAGTCATTGTCCTGGGAAAGTCTGTGGTCAGGGACCTCTCCAAGTTATTGAGGAACAATGACGTCAGTTTGAGGACTAAAGTGCGTATAATTCAGGCCATAGTCTTTCCAATCACTTGCTTGCTATGCTTCTGAGAACTGGACCAAGAATAAAGATGGCAGAAGCATTGATATCTTTGAGCTGTGGTGTTGGAGAAGAGCAGTGAACTGCGAAAAGAGCAAAATATTCTTGGAGAAAGTGCAGTCAGAGTGCTTCCTGGAGGCAAAGATGATAAAGCTTCATCTCACATGCTTAAGACATGTTGCTAGGAGAGGCTATTCTTGGAGAGGGACATCTTGCTTGGAAAGGCAGAGGGTAAGTGAAAGAGAGGAAGGTCCTCAAGCAGATGATGGATTGACAGGGTGACTGCTGCAGTGGGCTCAAGTGTGTAAGACATTGTGAAGATGGCACAGGATAAGACAAGCTTCAGATCTGTCACTATGAGTTGTACTTGACTCGACAATACCTAACAACAACCGCTAGTAAGCATGATGTCATTCTCCAGCAAATGGGCCTCCCGGTAACATGCCCAAAGTAGTGAAGTCTCACTTCTAAGGATCATTCTGAATGCACTTCTTCTGAGACATATTTGTTTGTTCTTTTGGCAACCTATGGTGTATTCAGTATTCTTTGCCAGTGACACAATTCAGGCCATTGATTCTTCTGTGTTCTTTTTTCATCACTCAACTTTTGCATGCATATGAAATGATTAGGCATGGTCTAGAGACAGTTTCATACCAGCACTACCCTCTGGGATGGACAGTTTTAGCACGGTTTGTGAATTTAGGAAGGGTAAATAAAATTTAAAAAAAAATCCCTGGACAGTATAAAAAGTGAAGAACTCAGAAGCTAAGCAAATACGTGGAGGTCTGAATCCACCCCGATGTGCCTCAGAAGAAAGTTCTAGAGACCTCCTGAATGAACAGTCCTGAGGAGCACAAATCTGCTCTGACACACATGGAGTTGCTGTGACTTAGAATCCAGTCATCGGGCTGGTTTTATTGTCTTTAGGACAGAAAAGATTTATTCTCTCTGCCCTCCTCCCAGTTTGTTCTTGTCCAAATGCCACAGTGCTTGTCAAAGCCAGTTCTGATTAATCTTCTTTGTCAGTGTGTCCTTTGCCATTCCCTATCACTCCTCCCTGAGAGAGACTTCACCCTGAGTCATAAGGAAAAGGGGACGGCGTATTCTCTTAGCTACTTCCTGCTGAAAAGGGACGCTGTGGGTTTCAGGGTGAAGATCTTCTCTCACTACTCTAAAGGGTCCCTTTGGCAGTAGGAAACACATAGACTATTATGGAGATTGATTTTGGAATTTAGATGCACTCTTATTGATTGTGCTTGGCCGTACATGTTCATATCCTTGAAGATGTATCATGGGGGTGTTGCAACCTAGAAGACACAAATTTGACTAACAAGTTATAAGTACATGAGTCAAAAATTATGGAAAAGTAAAAGAAAAGATTCTTTCATTTTCCACAACCCCCCCCCAGGTCCCCTCCACCATGCAGCCTAGACTCTAGACTCCTGTGATGACAGAAACACCCAGTTATATATCTCAGGACAGAAAAGATTTTTGTGATCAGAATGTCTAAAGATTTGGACTAGATTTTTTTTAAATGTAAGAAAATTGAACCTAGATATTGATTTCTTGAAAACCTTTAGAAAATACATCCTTTTGCAGATAAATATCACTTTACTTCTGCTGTTTAATTCAACAAATAATGGTCTTTGATTTAATGACAGCTATGAGTTGGCCCCTCAAGGTCTTAGCACCAACTAAGAGCCACATGATGGCAGTGTTTCCTAATTGTTGAGAACATCTCCAAACAAAAAACAGCCTAAGAGGTGAAACTGTAAATCTAAAAGGCACTGCTTGACTCAATTGTTGCCATTGCCCATAGAGGAAAAGTACATTTGTCTGCATGTTATAACATGTTATATAAGACCTGTTGCAATCAAAAGTGGACCCAAGCTGCCTTTGCATCTCTCTTCCTTCTCCCTCTTGGACCCTCTCACCAGCCATTATCGATCCTCTCACCTGCTCAAGGGAAGCAACAGGCTTTTTCTCACTCTTGGATTTTTGCCTTTGTCATGTTGGCTACTTGAAATGTTTGGATGGAATACAGGAGCCCATGGAAACTTAAGAGTTTATTACATACAGAAAGTGGCCTCACCGGTTTCTCCAGCAAGAGATTCTGTTTGTGTATGGGCACCCAGGAGCTGGAACCAGCTGGATTTGGGCCACTCCAGGTCATTCTGGGAGCTACTTCCTGAGAAAGAGGAGAGAACACTGTTTCATATCCAATATGCTCTCCCTGGTTACTGTCTCTCTACTGAACTGGAAGAGTAAGCAGATAGTTTTAAGCATCTAGGAGGCTAGATATCCAAGTTCAGGGTCACAGCTCTAAAAGAAGGGCTCTGGGGGAACATCCTCGTCTCGGGTTCTCTAATGGTTTTGGTTTTATATCTCAAAAAGTGGATTAAAGCATACCCTAATGAGACGAGGACTCATTAACATAAAAAGGTAGTCTTAAAGGGAGTTCTGGTGGCCTAGTGGCAAGATGCTGCACTGCAATCCCAGAGGTACACGGTTCAAATCCACCAGATGCTCTGCTGGAGAAGAGGGGGCAATCTCCTCCTGTACCAGTCAGATCTGATTTGACGGTACACGTAAAAATAATACAATATAAATTTTTTTTAAAAAAAGGTAGTCTTATTACCAGTAGTCTAGGAAGAAGGATTGGCCATCTACTTCTGAAATAACAGGCCTTTGAAAACCCTGTGTACAACAGAGCACACTTAGAGTAGACTAGCAGATATGGCAATTGAGGCTGAGCCTTCAAATATGGGAACACAAAGGAGGAGGAACAGTTGTAAGGAGACAGTAGTGACTGGAACGTGGAATGTGAGAAACATGAATGTAGGAGAATTGTATATAGTTAAGAAAGAAATGGAACGCCTAAATATTGGCATACTATGTATTGGGGAAATGAGATGGATTGGCATGGGACATTTTTAATCGAGCAATCATGTGATCCCCTATGCTGGAAATGAAAAGGTGAGGGAAAATTAGGTTGCTTTCATAGTAAAAAAAAAAGTAATTTCTAGATCCATCTTTAAATACAATGTTGTGAGTGACAGAGTAATATCCATACGCATACAAGGAAGTCCAGTGAATACTATATATAGTATAGTAAGAGGAGGAAATAGAAAATTTCTACCAGCTTTTGCAGTCAGAAATAGATTGAAACTGCAATCAAGATGCATTAATAGTAATGGGTGACTGGAATGCAAAAACTGGGAATAGAGAAGAAGGATCAGCAGTCAGAAAACATGGACTTGGTGACAGAAATGAGGCTGGAGATAGAATTCTGCACAGTCAATGATTTATTCACTGCAAATACCTTTTATAAGAAACATGAATACAGACTATCCACATGAATTTCACCTGATGGTATGGGTAGGAATCAGATCTATTACATCTGTGGGAAGAATTGCTGGAGAAGTTCAATATCAGCTGTGAAAACTAGGCCAGGTTATAATTGTGGAGCAGATCATCAACTACTCATATGCAAGTTCAAATTAAAGCTAAAGAAGGTTAAATCAAATCCACAACAACCAAAATTTGACCTCAAATTTATCCTATCTGAACTGAAAAACCCTCTCAGGAACAAGTTTGAGGTCTTGAACACTAATGAATGAAGACCGGATGAGCTGTGGGAGGATATCAAGAATATCCACTGTGGCAAGAAAGGAATTCTTATACATTGTTGGTTGGATTGTACAATGGTACAATTACTCTGGAAGGCAGTTTCACGTTTCCTCAAAAAGCTGAACATAAAAATTCCATATGACTCAGCTATTCCACTGCTCGGAATATAGCCCAAGAAAATGAGGACTGAGGCACAGAGACTTGTACACCGCTGTTCATACTAATGTTATTTACCATAGCAAGAACATGGAAACAGCCCAAAAGTCCAACCACAATCAAATGGATTGAGAAATTATAAAAAAAAATTGTACATTAACGTGATGGGATACCACACAGCATGCAGGAGCAATAATTTTGTAAATTAATGCCTAACTTGGGAGGAACTGGAGAGAGTTATGCTAAGTAACTCAGTCTCATAAGGATAAATACTATATAAGACCATTACTATAAAATATGTGAGGATCCAAGGATGAAAGGGTGGGAGCAGAGGGGTGAGGATGGGCAGGGGTAGGGTGGAGTGAGAGAGTGGTTAATCATAGTGTCACATAATTTGATGGGTGGAGAGAGGAGTGGGTAAAGGAAATGGGGAAGATCCAATGTGAGTAACAATGTATATGAACTTTCTAAGGAAACCAGTATAAAATAAAAATTTTATTTTTTTTTAAATAGTATCATCCATAAAGAACACAAAAAGGTCATTACAAAGGCAGACAAGGAAGAAAAGACCAAGAGGAATGACAGTTGTTGTTGTTGTTATGTGCTATCAAGTTGCCTGTCACTCATAGCAACTCTATGTACAATAGCTCTGAGGTCTGCCCTGTTCTGAGCCAATCTCACTGACTATGATATACCTACCCCCACTGCCCTAGTTACTGTATCAGTCCATCTCCTCTGGGGTCTTCCTCTCTGGCACTGTCCCTCAACCCTTCTTAGCATGATGTATTTCTCTAAGAATTGGTCCCTCATGGCCATATGCCTTAAATATGTGAGACAGACCTTCAAAAGTCTAGCCTCCAAGAAGAAACTTGGTTGCACTCTGTGCACAATAGACCTATTTGTTTTCTTGGTGGGCCATGGTATGTTCAAGACTCTTCTTCAGAACCACAACTCAAAAGCATAAATTCTTCTGTGATTCTTAGTCATTGTCCAGCTCTCTGATACATAGCAAGTAATTATGAAGACCATGGCCTGGATCAGGTACACCTTAGTCTCTGAACTGACATCATTACTTCTCAGTACTCTGGAAAGGTCACTGACAGCAGATTTACTTAATGCAATTTGCCTTTTGATTTCTTGACTGCTGGTGCCAAAGTGTTGAATGTGGAGCCTAACAAACCCTAACTGTTAATAATCTCAATCTCCTCTCCATCCATCATTGTGCTGCCAATTGGTCTAGTGGTGAGAATCTTTGTCTTCTTAATGTTGAGCTCCTATCGATCTGGAAGACCACAGCGCTTCAGGTCCTCCTCAGTTTCAGCAAGTAGGATTGTGTCATCTGCCTAACGTAGGTTGTTGATGGGTCTTCCTCCAGTCCTGATGCTACATTCCTCCTCAATAAAGCCCAGCCTCCTGAATGATCTGTTCTACATATCAACGGAAAAAGTATGGAGACAGGAAGCATTCCTGACACTTTCCTGATTTTGAACCATGTGGTGTTTCCCTGCTCTGTTCTGAGGACTATTTCCTGGTCCAAGTATAGGATGTCAGTTGTTGTTGTTGTTGTTATGTGCCATGGAGTTGTTTGCAACTCATAGCGACCCTATGTACAATAGCCCTAAACCCTGCTCTATCCTGTGCCAATCGCATTGCCTCTGACACACCCATCCTGATTACCCCAGTCACTGAATCAATCCACCTCATAGAGGGTCTTCCCCTCCTCGCTGTCCCTCCACCCTACCAAGTATGATGTCCCTCTCCAAGGACCTGTCTCTCCTTACAACATGTCCAAAATATGTCAAACGAAGTCCCAGAATCGTTGCCTCCAAGGAGTAGCCTGGTTTAACCCTCTCTAGGATGAATCTGTTTTTTTTGGCAGTCCAGGGTACATTCAGTACTCTTCTCCCACACCACAGCCCAAAGGCATCAATTCTTCTATCCTCCCTAGTCATTGTCCAACTCTCTGATGCATAACAAGTGATTGCAAAGACCATGGCCTGTATCAGGCACACTTTAGTCTCCAGAGAGAGACAACATTGCTCTTGAGTACTTTAGAGAGGTCCCTAA